AATAGGAATCATTTGAGTTCTTCACCTTTTGATTGGACTTGCAACTGCTTGAACTACTTGAACTACTTGAACTACTTGGAACTCCTTTTCAAGAGGTCGTGGAGTTTCACCTGGCGTCAAAGATGTCACGTGCAGGTGTGTTTGGAGGACTTTGAGCTGGCGATGCCATGCAGGCGACTTCCCTGTCAGCACGCTCGGGTGTCTCAGAAAGGTACCCAATATTCACTCCCGAATCGATAGAAGAGGATAGGAGAAGTTCACCGACTATCCGAGACTATCTAATGATTTCAATGTTCAAAATGTTCAAGTTGACATTTGTAAGCCATGAATCCCTTGTAGGAAGTTCTAAGTTCTGACTCATGATCAACTCTCTTTTGTGCTATATTATTATATATTTCAATCCATTTGAAAACTTGAAACAGGGCGATTCCTCACTAAGTCACAGCGAGAGATGAGGTCTTTCACCAGAAATGCATCGACGAATGGCTGCGAAGGTGCACGGACTGCCCCATTTGCAAGGCGCGACGATATTGAAATCATTTGAAGTCAGAAATCCACGCCGGAAGAATGTTCGAAGCAGTCATTGAGTCATTGCCAAAGAATCCGTCCCAGCAAACGTTGAGCAGGCAAATGTGGATCGAGCAATGCGCAACTATTGATAGGCTCGCAGATCCAGAATATTGAAGACAAAGCTATTGAAATGAGAAAGCTACGAGTTTCCCTTTAGTCTCACGCTACCAGAAAATGATCAGAGCACCCATGCCCTGTGCAAGTAAGGTGACAGTGGTGTGACGTTTCGTCTTCACTGGAGGTCACCAAGGACGTAATGAACGTTGCTTTGGTAGAATCCTAGCTTCACTGTCTCTAGTCTGTTGGTGCAACGTCAGTCACGAGTCAGAGTTATGCTGGCACAAAAGCAACGTCCACAGCGGTGGATTTGTTTCACCCCTAGCATTGGACGGACGCATCTTTCAATAGTTCTGTCAAGACGAGGTTTTTGAGACTGGTTTGGGTTGTTGTGGTGCATTTGTGCTTAGAACCGTTTCAACACTCACAAGCAATCTTGAATCAAAGTGCTGTCAAAGTGGCGCGGTTTTTCTCCGTGTTGGATGCCCAGATGCTGGCCTACGCAAACTCGATTAGCCCAAAAAAGTGTAAAGAAAAAGCGAGCAGGTAAGCCGTCAAAACCGTCAGAAGTTCGGAGTTGGAAAGTCATGTGGCATGGAAAGCAAGGGAGACACTTTTTTTGGTTCGAATACTTTTGCGTAGCAAGAACTTGCTGAGTCCGCTCCGCCCTGGCGGCTGCTTTGCTTTTGGCTCAGACATATTTGATTTGGTGAAAGTGCAGTGACGCAAGTGCCGCACAGCGGAGAGGGAGGAGGCTGGGGCCCACCTTGGTCCTGTTCCCGAGTTCATTGGACGTTGCACCGTTGCACCGTTGCACCGTTGCACCGTTGCACCGTTGCACCGTTGCACCGTTGCACCGTTGCACCGTTGCACTTCGCCGCTGTAGATCGAGGTTGGCAAAAGGAACTTTGATGAACTGCCGTGCTTTGTACATTTCGATCGATGGAGGTGGACGTCCAGACCGTGCTCGCCGCAGGAAGTCGCCTTTCCAATGTCAGGTGTGTGATCTCAGATGCTGACTGCTAGGTGTAGACTGGTAGATGATGGAAGGGTAGAGTATATAGATGTAGACAGTCTATGGATGTCCATAGCATAGAAGGACTTAGTGCAATGATGACTTGAGCATCACAAGATATCAAAAGTATCAAACTACTAAAATATACTTAAATCATCATAAATTTTCACAATGACAAGGCTGACAAGGCACCTTTGTTTTCGGACTTAGTCTTGCTTTGTTTGTGCGGCGCCAGACGCGGATTTCATTACTGCCTCTTGGCCTGGAGCCAGGGTACGGAGCTCAAGGGAGAAGATTTGAGATACAGAAGCGATGAAGTAAAATCACAAGATGCAGAAGTAACTCTCACAAGATGCTTTTCAAAATCTCACAAGATGTCTCAAGGAGTTCGGAGTTTCATGTTCTTTCGAGCATCGTCAACTTTGTGCAAGAACCATGAGCTTAGAGGTTCAAAAGTCGTTTTTTTTGGTGATATTGTGAACATTTGTGAACTCAACAAATTGGGTGTACCCCTTTCAGGGGTCCCTTCAGGCTTTTCCTTATACCCATTATATATGAGCACAACAGGAGTAATATGCAAACTGCCTTCCAAAGCCGTGCGCACCCTTTGCATGAGATTGCTTATATTACTTTATGTGCATGTTGATCCTGCTTCAAACTGACAAATGTGTCCATACATAGGCACCCTTTATGTCTTGTCCGAGGCGCCTATATCCTTGCTTCGACCTGTGCCAAAGGCGCCCCGTGTGCGGCCAATACAGGCGGACTGCATGGCTGGGGCCCAAATCTTTTGGTTCATGGCTCCTGTCGCCTCATTGCCTCCACCTTTCCTCCTACGTGTCCTTCGTGCTCCTTCGATTGGAAGGAAAAGATGCTAGGACACGATATTCCAATGCTATCGGACAACTGGCTGGGAATATCTTCAACATTCTTCAACACTACTACAGACTCTACAGACAATTGCTAAATGAAACATTTGTTGTCCTAACTTGGATCAGCTCGACTTGGCGAAACAAGTCTGTGGTTTCAAATGGTTTCAGCCATCGTTTTATCCTGAGGCTTCACCACTGCTTTTACCAGCAGCCAGTGGCTTAGACCCATTGCAATCATTGCAAGCCAATGCCATCCCCATGTTGCATGGTGTGGCCCGATGTCCCGATGATCCCGATGATCCCGATGATCCGTTTCCAAATCCTAAGAAAACCGTGCGCCAAATGCACGCAGACAAATTCCAATTCAGTGTCTTTCGGAAAGTGGTGGCGACTTGGCGTTTCTGTTGGCCATGGCAACATTGAACGGCCATTCTTTTAAAGTTTCCAAACTCAAAATTGCCATTTGCGAAGCGAAGATCTCTGCTGAACCTATGCCCGTCCACCTCAGGCTTTGGACTTGGAACGCCTTGACCGCTGCGACTCCGATCCGCTTCTTGAGGCTGCAAACCAAGTGGGGCTGAGCTCGTGACAGCGTTGTATCCCATTAACCCATGAACTTGGGCCATGACGGCCATGAACCAACAAACGACAACAAACGACAAACCGTATGCGATACGAAGCTGCCACCGTCTGCCAGGCAAAGCGCCCGGCATCGCCTTCGCTCTTGAGCACAGGCACCTTGAGAGAGATCATGCCCATGCCATGCAGCTGAGATTTCATATGATTTTAGTATGGTTTTAGTATGTTTTTTTTATTTCACTTGTTCCTCGTCTCCCAAGTTTGCAAATTTTGCGACCGGACGCCAGGACTCGAGGACAGCGAGGCGAGACTTTCTGTGTGTTCCTTTACGGTCCTTTACTCCGAGAGGAAAACCGAGGAAAACCCAGGAAGTTTTGGATTTGACGGTGTTTTGGGTGCCAGGGAGGGGATAGGTCTGAAAGTCTGAAAGGTTGCAAACGGCTGTAAATTCAACAAATTCAACTGCAAAGTGACAAAGTGACAAAGTGACAAAATGCCTCTTGAAACATTGGTTCTGCCTGTTTTGTCCGGTCTTGGAACATGGGCTTGATTCGCATTGATTCGCATTGATTCGCTAGGGTGAGGACAGGGAGGATATGCTGTGCCTTGGCGGGATTGAACTGAGCTGTCAAGATCTGTTGTGAAGACTGTGAAGATATGTGAAGATCTTGTTCCGGTGTCAAATATTTCTGTAAGAGAGTTCTCAGTTGTAGATTTGTGATGTTTGTCATGATTCATGATCGTAGTCTTGCCTGATCTTGTCGACTTTGTACTCTCGAGATGTTGTAAGCTGCTCTAGATTGGGTTCGATGCGCGCTCTCCGTCGCCATGGGGGGAACCATCGGACTGGGAAAAGAGAAGCGCCAGGAGGCCGGAAATCTCCAGAGGTCAGAAACAAATGATTCAAAGATGTCAAAGCGGAGAGAGAGCCCGGAGTCCCCCTGCCCGCCCCTGCCCTGTGAATTCATTTTTCGATGTTTCTTAGCCGTCTTAGCCTTATGCTTCTGTCACTCGGTCTTTTTTGCCTTCGATTGTCCTGGCTTCAGCACTCAGGTTGATGGCTCAACCATACAAAACATCGCTTACCAATACGCTCCGTATTGGGAATGGCAAGGAGATGATGGGATCTATGTCCCTTATGACTCTTCCATTGCTCTGATGCTGGAAAAGGCCCACAGAAAGTTACCTCGCAGAGATTACACTTGTGCAGTGATCCGTGCATCAATTGAAAACATTTGAAGTATACTTTTTTGAGAGTTGTTCATGATCAAACTCGATCAACTGTTACTACCTGTACCAGGCACATTCAAAGATGGATGCAGCAACTTCCAGTCAGCATTGCGTGGCTGTTGGCTCTGTGACTTGGAGCCAGAGGCAACTTACCAAAATGTGCCAGGACCATGAACGGAAAACAGAGATGGAGAGAAAATGAGAGACATGCATAGAAATGCAAGGATTTGGATATTCTGGAAGGATTTGCCAGAAATCAACAGAAACAATAGGAGCTTCCTTGCTATCCTATCCAAAGAATCGGACATGAAAGAAGAGTGTTGGTCGGAGAACACTGAGCTGCGAGACGAAAATCATCCGAAATCTCAATCCTAAGAGCAACAAAAAAGCCTATAGGCTGAATATGGTTGAATTTTGGTCTGGCATGTCAAAGCGAAATGTATGGACTGAAATCCCATGTTGACAGTGAACTTGAAAATATCCTGATTACATCCTGATTACATCTCTTTACATAGATATTACATCTCATATTATCTCATCACTGCATATCACTGCCATTTTGAGAGAAATCAGTGAGATAATAGTGATATATATATATATATATATATAATATAATATGATATAATATGTTCATTTGACAATTTTGAGAATTTGAGGCCACAGTGGACGTGCGTGCGATGGCTGCGATGGAGCAAAGAAGTGGGAGCCCGGGGAGCCCCGAGCGGCGTTTACGGCCCGTCCGAAGGAAGACCCGTGAGGAGGTGAAACGTGGTTTGGCAGACCCAAGCTGGGTACACCAAGAACAAGAGGCAGGGCAGATCTCACGGAATCCCAGGATATAGGAATTCATAGGAAATCATAGGAAATCATAGGAAATCATAGGCTATGTTTATGCTAACGGGTGCAAAACCGTACGTGTAGTGACACACATTTTCAACATTCCCAATTTCACATCATGTTTTTGAGCTTACACACCATGTTGCACTCTTATGTTCACGTAACTGGCAACGCGGGATGGGCTGGGGTGGGGTGGGGTGGGGATGTTAACGTTCGGTTGAAGTTGAACACGCCACTGATGCTACGCTGAGCATGGGGTGGGGTGGGGATGTGAACGTTCGTTTGAAGTTGAACACGCCATTGATGCTACGCTGAGCATGGGGTGGGGTGGGGATGTTAACGTTCGTTTGAAGTTGAAGACGCCATTGATGCTACGCTGAGCATGGGGTGGGGTGGGGTGGGGATGTGAACGTTCGTTTGAAGTTGAACACGCCACTGATGCTACGCTGAGCATGGGGTGGGGTGGGGATGTTAACGTTCGGTTGAAGTTGAACACGCCACTGATGCTACGCTGAGCATGGGGTGGGGTGGGGATGTGAACGTTCGTTTGAAGTTGAACGCTGCTACGCTGAGCATGGGGTGGGGTGGGGATGTTAACGTAAGTTGAACGCTGAGCATGGGGTGGGGTGGGGATGTGAACGTTCGTTTGAAGTTGAACACGCCATTGATGCTACGCTGAGCATGGGGTGGGGTGGGGATGTGAACGTTCGTTTGGAGTTGAACACGCCATTGATGCTACGCTGAGCATGGGGTGGGGTGGGGTGGGGTATGTGAACGTTTCGTTTGGAGCACGCCATTGATGCTACGCTGAGCATGGGGTGGGGTGGGGTGGGGTGGGGTGGGAAAAACAGCACAGGTCTACATGCACAATGATGGCAACAAAAAAAGGCAAAAAAAGGTTCGGATTTCGTGTGGAAGGGTTGCCAAACGCAAGAAACATGACCTTTTTTTTTAAAGATTTTTACTTTGAGACGGCTACGAAACACTGAAAGGGTTGTCATTTTTTGACAATGGTGATGCGCCTACACGCGCGATTCCGCACCCGGCGGGATGTTTATGTTGCATCATTGCGATTCTGATCGTATGATTTCAATTGGATGCTTGTGGATGCTTGTGGTTATTGATTATATTTGATGATCTTGGCAAATCGGGGACTGCTAAATTCAATGCAGTCACAATATTTGGATTCTATACAGGGATACCGCTGTCCTGGAAACATAAGACTTTCAAAAGAAACGATGGGATACAGCTGGGGAAGCTTTCAGTGAAACATCACAGGCTTGACGGATTTTTATTCCAGACTTTCAAGCCGAACTGAAAGAGTTGATGTGTCAGCTCGTTTCTGTGTCAGGAGCTTTTGGTAACATCTCAAAGATTATCCGCAGATACCCTGTGTGTGTCTAGCGACAATTGGATTTGCAGGTGGTCATGGCGGACGTGGAAGGTGAGCATGCTGAGGCATGGGGTCAAGACAAAATCTTGTTGACACTCCTGGCTGCACAGTTTCATACTAAAATGATCTGAAATGGCTAATGAATGCTATTTGCAAGAATCATTCATGCCTTGTGTGAGGCAGAATTGGTCAGAGGGTTTTTTTTTGGCGAAGGTGGCTTGAACTCCCAGCAGTGGGGTATAGTCAGCATCAGACGCGTTCAGCCGCCTGGCAGCGCAGCCGAGCCGCTGAATTGTCCGATCCATTGGATCCAACGTCCTTTTGGTTCCTTTCGCCTCCTTTTGCCTCAGGAACCAACCGCTTCGAGAAGCTTACTGCATTGAGAAGCAACTCATGCTACGGGAACGTGGGGAAGATCAAGTAAACGAACAGCTCCTGCTACATGGTCACTTGATGAGATCTCATTTCAACATGGTTTGAACTTGGTGTAATTGCACTAGTTTGCAACTTGACATCCCTGCCTCAGCAAATGTTTGCAGCCGGTACTTCTCATCTGATTTACATAATTATCACACAAAAATTATTGCAGGGTGCCTTAGGTTGCCACATGTTGAAACTTTGTTTGAAGGCACCCGAACATTCGACCCTGTTGCCATCATCGAAGATAGAGATGGCTTTATGGTCGAGAAAGGCTGCGTGATGTATTGACAGCGTATTGATTAATGTGTGTTTACATGTTCGATACAAAAACGGCATTGGACGCATTTTTAGAATATTTTGAAGCGCTTGTTGAAAACATGTTCCATCATGACCATTCAGCTCAGCAAAGTGTGAGATCGGTCGAGCAATGCGTAGGCTCCGAGCGAGCCTTCTATGGCCAGGGCTGCTATTTTGCAGAGCTTGCGCAGTATCTCGACGCAGAGCGCAGAGCAGAGCAGAGCAAAGCCAAGCAAAGCAGCTGATAGCGACTGACAGCGACTGATAGCGAGTGTAATGGTGTTGACCCGTAAATCACGACATGATGAAGTTCTTGATACTAGAAATGCAAACAACTTCAGAGAGTTACTGTTGTACAACTTCACTTAGGTACTCGCACTTGTACAGCTATGCCTCGAATGGAAACCACCAACTTCTACTTGCCGATGTCCTGTGTGGCAGTGTGCCCTGTCTTCACTTGACTGAGCTCCATCCACTGTCAGATGTTACAGCTGAGACCGCCAGGTGTACGAGATGGGAGATGAGCCACTTGGACATCACGTCATAATCGTCATATCATGTCATATCACATCACTGTGCTGACTTTGATCGGTCAATTTCTCCACCTCACCCGAGGTTGGATCGTGCTGGAGTGAAGTGCAATCGAGCTTGGTTGCGAAGCAATGGCAGCCTGGTCCAAGTTGATCACGATGATTTCCACCTAGAAAGGCCCCTGAAATATTTGGTTTCGTTGATTCGTTGGTTTGATTTTGTTGAGTCTTTCTTTCATCTTTCTGTCATCTTTCTGTCAATTTATGCCTTTGTCTGCCCCTCACCAAGGTTATGACAGTGTTGCCGGTGGACCGCATACGCCTTTGCAGCGTGGTCCCGGCACAAACCAATCACGACTCCACGTGGTTTACCGTGCCAACCAGACCTATCCTCGTTTTCTAGTGACCCTCGAAGCATTTTACGATTTTGCTGCCTATCTCAGTGAAGTTCTTTGTGTGATTCTGGGTGATTGCTGTCTGGTTTGTTCAGCATGCCCTGGCTGCCCTGAGGACATACAAGTCCATTTGCCCACGGGCTTTGCTTTCAGTTCGTGTGCCATGCCGAAAAAAAACGAACCCGAAGAGCGCAGTGACGCCACGGACAACGCCACGGACGCCTGTGCAGCGCTTTGCCCCCACCGATGTCAAGGCAGATGAAATAGAAATAGAAGAGAGTGAATGAAATAATATGAAATAGAAGAGAGTCCTTGAAGAGAGTGTTTAAAGATGTTCGCCCCAACCCGGACGTTGCTCCACACTTACAATCGTCACGATCATCACCATCATCATGATCATCATCCTCATCATCATCATCACCACCATCATCATAATCATCATTTTTATATTCATGTGAGGGGTCAAGAATTGCCACCCCCTCTGAACAATATGTTGTTTGAGGTAATAACATCATCTTTATTTTCATAAGGGATCAAAATTCGTCACCCCTTATGAACAATATGTTGGTTGGCGTAATAACATCAACTTTATCTTCATGAGGGATCAAAAATCGCCACCCCTTACGAACAATATGTTGATTGGGGGAATAACATTAACTTTATCTTCATAGCCACCTGAAGTCAGACGCGGAGCAACGTCAGGGTTGCAGCGATGTTGTTTCAATGTGTTTACAGTAGTATGCCAGGACTTGGCAGGTGCTTAAGCTGCTTGAGTTCTCGGTGTTTCAGATGGGGAACTGGGAACATCCTGGAACTCATTTGGAGGTCAGCCATCATGAGCAGATCCTGGCTGTGACCTGGGTGGACGATTCGCTATGCCACTTCGTGCTTAAGAATGCTTAAGAGTTATCAAAAGAGTTTACTCACTTTGCCCATTTTCGCTCTTTTGATCTCTGTTGATCTATTTTGATCTTGCGTTTGTTTTGAACCTGACTCTGACTGACTCCTGTAGTTCTCTGGACATCAAAGTTCTTCACTCAAGTTATTCACTTTTTGTTCTCATACGGTCACCTTGATGAGGAATATGAGGAAGTTCCGGGGAGGGCAGCATTAGAATACCCGAACATTTATCATAATTTATCGATTTGCAACCTGATGACCATGATGGGTCTTACAATCTTGGAGAATTTGCACTCCATGTAGGTCATAGAAAAATTGGACATGGATCATCGATGATTATCGTACTTTCGCATTTTGCAGCTGCCTTTGCAAGGTTTGGCAACAGCTTCTGCAGTGCACTTGGACTGCCAGGGGAATGCCGTTCGTGTTGATCTACCGCAGCTTGATTGCGTGGTTCTTCTTACAATGGAAACCGGTTATGGGTTGTCTCAAGACTAGAAAACCTAAAAACCTAAAGCGGTCAGTCGATTGCTAGTTTCCAACATGGATGGGCATAAATCGTAAATCGTAGGATTTTGAGTTCGATGTTTTGAAGCATATGCCAATCAAGAAAGAGCGGTTCGTTCAGAGTCTTCGGAAGGTTGTAGTTAAAGGTTGTTGGAATACCATTGAACATCACAATTTAGTACAGTGTACAAGTAGTTCTTTCTTCCGAGCATTTTCAGACCGTTCAGTGTGGTGACCATGTTCCAAAATGTTCCAAAATGTTCCAAAATGTTCCAAAATGTTCCAAAATGTTCCAATGGTCCGTAGAAATCTGGCACTTTTTCTTTGTGTTGTGGTCTCGTTGCGTTGTCCTGCACTGTCTCGCGAATTCTGGTCACACCAAGGAACCCGGCTCAGAATGCAGCGTGGAGTGCTGCCGGGCTACTGGCAGTGGTGCAAAAAAATCGCAGGCTCTGACAGGGAAGTTCCAGGTGAAAAGGAGATAATCCCAGGTGAAAAGAAGATAAAAGGAGACAGGAGATGTGAAGGCATGTCAAGACACTCAAGACCCCAAAAAGAGACTCTACGGTGCAGTATGGCGCCACTGATACAGAGATTCTATTGTGAACATGCAGAGTTGGCTATCTCTTCTGGACGGACTCTAAAATCCCATGGAAAATCGTCCAGAAACGATCTGGTGCCCTACGTGGAAGGCTGCTTTTGGTGAATGACGCCAAAGATATGCCCAAAGTTTCTACTGAGCATCCGGCGCTGATTCAATCACTTTGCTGGTGCGGTGAGGATAACTCTCAAACCACTTGTGCTTCGCGTTAGTTTGGCTTCGTTTTTGGCTTGCTTGAGCAGCACTCAGAGCGTTTAAATTTTGATCAACTTTCACAGAGAAAGCGAAACATGAGAGCAATTGAGAGCACATCTCAAGAAAGGATTGAAATTTCGGTTATTCGGTTTCGCATGGTTTCGCTTTTTCATCTCCGACAGCTTGGTTCACTGGCCCTGTGAGTATCTCATCTTGTCGCAGGACCAGCTAGCGACGGGCTCCAAAGATGGCAAGGTTCGCGTCTTCACAGCAACCTGGCGCGAGAACTCAGAAATCCCGGAAAGTCAAAATGAACGGAGCTCATGGCTTGATTTCTTGGAGTAGGTTGAAATAGGTTGAATATGTTTGCTGTCTAGAGATGTCCAGAGTATATCAATCTATTCAATCTATTCACATTGAACCATTGGGTTGTTGAGACTTTGAACATTAACATGTGAGGTAGACGGCAGCTTCAAAGATAGCCAGCGCAGCTATGCCCACAGCTCTCCCGTTCTTTCGATGGCTTGGTGTCAAGATGTGCTTGCTGTTGGCGGCTCTGATGGAAAGCTTTGATGCTTGGCCTGAAATTGGCACAAACGTCCACCTATGCACCTATTCACTATTCAACAACTATTTTATGGATAAAATGATGATAAAGGAACTATAGCATAAGTATTTATAGTTATCCTCAACTCAGATGCTATCAATCAAAAAGAGTATAGATTCTGGTGGGCAATGAATCCCAATGTTGTTGAATGGTGATCCAATAGATCCAACATGATCCAACTTCCATTTATTTCTCGGGTCAGGTCTCCTGTCAAGCAGCTTGACTCCGGAGCGCAGCTTGGTGCCGGCATAGCTCAAAGACCGGTATTTGGTGTTGGTTGGCGTGTTGGTATCACTTTGGTATCACTTTGGTATCACTTTGGTATCACTTTGGTGTCACTTTTGTTACTCTTTGCTACCACACATAAACATCGCATGCTAAAACATCATAGTGTTATGATGTATTAGGATGTATTATGTAACATTATGTAACTATCTAATATTCCTATGAGAACATGAAAAGATGATCTGAAGAGTCGGGGTTAGTGAAAGTCGGCGTCGCGGAGCCAGCTGTTGCGTAGCGATAGTGGGAGCCTCTCCCTTGTCCCAACAGGCACTTTGGACTTCGGGAATTGGCTGACATCGCTTGCAGCTTGGAATAGCTAAGGGGTTGGTACAGTATTTGATCTATTGACGTGTCTGACGTGTCTGTTTGTTTGAGTGGTTGGATTCTTTGAATCGACGTGTTCTTTGAATCTCTGGAATCTACGTTTTGCGCTGTCTTTATCCAATTCTTCCAGAATTCCGGAAGGCCGTGCAGCAGAATTGCAATGGATTGCGGTACAAAATGCTACAAAATGGTACAAGTGTAGTTGAATGTAATTGAAGTTTCTCCCTTTGGACAAGTCGCCAATCTTCACGAGCTCCAGCTCTTGGTTTAAGCAAGTTCTCTAGAAACATAGGTAATCCCAAGTTGCGCATCTGAAGTCAAGGCGTGGAGTGCAAATGGGGAGAGGCTTGCAGCAGGTTGCGATGATGGCAAGGTACACATTCTGCGATCAGGCAATGGGGAAACGGGGGATAGGGATAGGTGAGAAACCGCAAACATGGAACATACAAAATCTACCAACATTTGGTTCCAACATTGTAACATGGAAAAGGTCTCTTCTGTAGATTAAACAAGCAACCTGGATTGGTTACCAAGTTGCAAGATGTTGCAAGCGCAGCACCTTGTGTTTATATTTATACATTTCTCATAGCTTGAGCTTTGCTCATGTTTGGTCAAGGCACTGAAGAGCGTGCAGTTGTACATGAGGACCGAGTGTGCTCTCTGATGTTTCACCCGGAGTTGGGTCATATCGTTGCCAGCGGTGCAATTAACGGGAAGATCCGCATTGTGAACACCATGGGCGGTTCGGCCGAGTGTATCGCGCGCGGTGAAGAGATGGTCACAAGCGCCACATGGAACACCACAGGCGATGCGCTTGCAGTAGGCTGTGATGGAGGGACTTTGAGAGTTTTCTACTTCCAGCCCAAAACCAACATTCAGAGCTTTGGATCTGAGAGAAGTCAAAAAAGCTCTGGACGCATTGCATTGGAAACCAGGTAGATTCTGCTTTTGGACTGCTTGGTCTTTAAAACATTTTGGAAAAATGTAGCACCTTGGAGCATTTTGCTTGGGAAGAGCGTTCAGGTTCTATTGTCCACAAGTCTCTGGTGACAGCACGCCAAAGTTTGAAGACAAGTCCGGGCTCCGAGATGCGGTCCACGAAAGCTGGAATTAGATGCGTGGACAGATCGTTTCAGATACTCTGAATTGGAACAACCTTCCAACCTGACCAATCCCACCCTGTGCTAGCTCTGGCCCTGGTTTACAAACTAACATCTCGCCAAGGATGCACCTTCAGGATTGCCAAGGTTGGGGAATTTTGGAGTCTGCTGACAGTCTATCATAGAGGACTGAGCAAGATCATTTTGAGGCACAAGAAGATCTGCTCGCTGTTTGATCTGGTCAGGCCGCAATTCTCGCTTCGGTTCCGAGTGCAGCCAGGACGGAAACATATGGAAACATCCTGATTTTACGCGCTAATTAATACTTGATTTATATTATTAAGGGGCTCCCAATCTTGCTTGGTTGCAGAATCAAGGCTGTCTGGTGCCATGCTTTTGCAGCTTTTGGATCGATAGTGTGAGAAGTAGCAGCACAAGCATACTGGGACAAATTTCACCTGCAATAGCGAGGGTTGTTTGCGCTCTTCTTCTTCTTCTTCTTCTTCTTCGTCTTCTTCGTTTTCTTCTTCTTCTTGTTGCTTCCTGGCTTCTTGTTTCTTGCTTCTTGCCGCTTGTTGCTTGTAATTGCTTCTTGCTTCTTGCTTCTTAGCTGTCTGACCCAAAACGGCGCCTGCGCCACAGCCAAACAGCAGGGCCCTGAGGGACGGACCGGGCCTGCGGGCCACGGCCCCCAGTGCCTAACGTCATTTTCTGAACCTACAAGAAAACTAGCTGTCTGACCCAAAACGGCGCCTGCGCCACAGCCAAACAGCAGGGCCCTGAGGGACGGACCGGGCCTGCGGGCCACGGCCCCCAGTGCCTAACGTCACTTTCTGAACCTACAAGAAAACTAGCTGTCTGAACTGTCTTCTAGTTACCAAAAGCTTCACAAACGGCGCTCTTCTTCTTCTTCTTCGTCTTCTTCGTTTTCTTCTTTTTCTTCTTCTTCTTCTTCTTGCTTCCTGGCTTCTTGTTTCTTGCTTCTTGCCGCTTGTTGCTTGTAATTGCTTCTTGCTTCTTGCTTTTTAGCTGTCTGACCCAAAACGGCACCTGCGCCACAGCCAAACAGCAGGGCCCTGAAGGACGGGCCGGGCCTGCGGGCCACGGCCCCCATTGCCTAACGTCACTTTCTGAACCTACAAGAAGACTAGCTGTCTCAGCTGTCTTCCAGCCGCCAAAAGCTTCACAAACAGCGCCTTCGCCACACCAAAACAGCAGGGCCCTGAGGGACGGACCGGGCCTGCGGGCCACGGCCCCCACTGCCTAACGTCACTTTCTGAACCTACAAGAAGACTAGCTGTCTGACCCAAAACGGCGCCTGCGCCACAGCCAAACAGCAGGGTCCTGAGGGACGGACCGGGCCTGCGGGCCACGGCCCCCAGTGCCTAACGTCACTTTCTGAACCTACAAGAAAACTAGCTGTCTGACCCAAAACGGCGCCTGCGCCACAGCCAAACAGCAGGGCCCTGAGGGACGGACCGGGCCTGCGGGCCACGGGCCCCAGTGCCTCACGTCATTTTCTGAACCTACAAGAAAACTAGCTGTCTGACCCAAAACGGCGCCTGCGCCACAGCCAAACAGCAGGGCCCTGAGGGACGGACCGGGCCTGCGGGCCACGGCCCCCACTGCCTAACGTCACTTTCTGAACCTACAAGAAAACTAGCTGTCTGACTTGCATTCCAGCCGCCAAGCCGCCAAGGCTCACCCACGGCGCGCTCGCCACACCGAAACAGCAGGGCCCTGAGGGACGGACCGGGCCTGCGCGCCATACCCCCCACTGCCTAACGTCACTTTCTGAACCTACAAGAAAACTAGCTGTCTGAGCTGTCTTCCAGCCGCCAAGCCCCACAAACGGCGCCTTCGCCACACCAGAAAACAGCAGGGCCCTGAAGGACGGACCGGGCCTGCGGGCCACGGCCCCCAGTGCCTAACGTCACTTTCTGAACCTTCTTCGTCTTCTTCGTTTTCTTCGTTTTCTTCTTCTTCTTCTTGTTGCTTCCTGGCTTCTGGTTTCTTGCTTCTTGCCGCTTGTTGCTTGTAATTGCTTCTTGCTTCTTGTTTCTGGTTTTCTTCTTCTTCTTCTTGTTGCTTCCTGGCTTCTTGTTTCTTGCTTCTTGCCGCTTGTTGCTTGTAATTGCTTCTTGCTTCTTGTTCCTTGTTTCTTGCTTCTTGCCCTTGCTGCTTGTACTGACTTCTTGGCCCTTGCTGCTGGTAATTTCTCCTCTGACGCGCTCCCCCTGCTGCAAGCGGGGGCTGCGGCAAACAATTTCGTGTCGCCAATGGCCTGCTCGCAAGCCGCGTGCATTCGCACACATGTCCTACATGCGGCACGGTGGTGCACTCAACACAGGCTTCCGGCCGAATCCAAATAACGATCGCAATCCCAACGGAAGGCAGTGTCGCACCGACCAATGGCGCGTGAATAACTGATGGAAATTTCCATCTTGGATTCTACCTTTGCCCGGTCTTCTTCTTGCTTCTGGTTCTTGTTCTGCACATTCTTGAACGTTTGCGTGCCACATCTATTCGTCGCCCCTGGAATGTATGCCTGCAGAGCAACAGCTTCTACTACCTGTTTTCCGGCTCCCACGGCGCGGATCTGAAGCATGGAGCGGAAATGGAGGCAACGGCCCCAGCCAAACAGCAGGGCCCTGAGGGACGGACCGGGCCTGCGGGCCACGGCCCCCAGTGCCTAACGTCACTTTCTGAACCTACAAGAAAACTAGCTGTCTGACCCAAAACGGCGCCTGCGCCACAGCCAAACAGCAGGGCCCTGAAGGACGGACCGGGCCTGCGGGCCACGGCCCCCAGTGCCTAACGTCACTTTCTGAACCTACAAGAAAACTAGCTGTCTGAACTGTCTTCCAGTTACCAAAAGCCTCACAAACGGCGCTCTTCTTCTTCTTCTTCTTCGTCTTCTTCGTTTTCTTCTTCTTCTTGTTGCTTCCTGGCTTCTTGTTTCTTGCTTCTTGCCGCTTGTTGCTTGTAATTGCTTCTTGCTTCTTGCTTCTTAGCTGTCTGACCCAAAACGGCGCCTGCGCCACAGCCAAACAGCAGGGCCCTGAAGGACGGGCCGGGCCTGCGGGCCACGGCCCCCATTGCCTAACGTCACTTTCTGAACCTACAAGAAAACTAGCTGTCTGACCCAAAACGGCGCCTGCGCCACAGCCAAACAGCAGGGCCCTGAGGGACGGACCGGGCCTGCGGGCCACGGCCCCCAGTGCCTAACGTCAATTTCTGAACCTACAAGAAAACTAGCTGTCTGACCCAAAACGGCGCCTGCGCCACAGCCAAACAGCAGGGCCCTGAAGGACGGACCGGGCCTGCGGGCCACGGCCCCTAGTGCCTAACGTCACTTTCTGAACCTACAAGAAAACTAGCTGTCTGAACTGTCTTCCAGTTACCAAAAGCCTCACAAACGGCGCTCTTCTTCTTCTTCTTTTTCTTCTTCTTCTGCTTCTTCTTCTTCTTCGTCTTCTTCGTTTTCTTCTTCTTCTTCTTGTTGCTTCCTGGCTTCTTGTTTCTTGCTTCTTGCCGCTTGTTGCTTGTAATTGCTTCTTGCTTCTTGCTTCTTAGCTGTCTGACCCAAAACGGCGCCTGCGCCACAGCCAAACAGCAGGGCCCTGAAGGACGGGCCGGGCCTGCGGGCCACGGACCCCATTGCCTAACGTCACTTTCTGAACCTACAAGAAGACTAGCTGTCTCAGCTGTCTTCCAGCCGCCAAAAGCTTCACAAACGGCGCCTTCGCCACACCAAAACAGCAGGGCCCTGAGGGACGGACCGGGCCTGCGGGCCACGGCCCCCACTGCCTAACGTCACTTTCTGAACCTACAAGAAAACTAGCTGTCTGACCCAAAACGGCGCCTGCGCCACAGCCAAACAGCAGGGCCCTGAGGGACGGACCGGTCCTGCGGGCCACGGCCCCCAATGCCTAACGTCACTTTCTTAACCTACAAGAAAACTAGCTGTCTGACCCAAAACGGCGCCTGCGCCACAGCCAAACAGCAGGGCCCTGAGGGACGGACCGGGCCTGCGGGCCACGGCCCCCATTGCCTAACGTCACTTTCTGAACCTACAAGAAACTAGCTGTCTGACCCAAAACGGCGCCTGCGCCACAGCCCAACAGCAGGGCCCTGAGGGACGGACCGGGCCTGCGGGCCACGGCCCCCAGTGCCTAACGTCACTTTCTGAACCTACAAGAAAACTAGCTGTCTGACCCAAAACGGCGCCTGCGCCACAGCCCAACAGCAGGGCCCTGAAGGACGGGCCGGGCCTGCGGGCCACGGCCCCATTGCCTAACGTCACTTTCTGAACCTACAAGAAGACTAGCTGTCTCTGCTGTCTTCCAGCCGCCAAAAGCTTCACAAACGGCACCTTCGCCACACCAAAACAGCAGGGCCCTGAGGGACGGACCGGGCCTGCGGGCCACGGCCCCCACTGCCTAACGTCACTTTCTGAACCTATAAGAAAACTAGCTGTCTGACCCAAAACGGCGCCTGCGCCACAGCCAAACAGCAGGGCCCTGAGGGACGGACCGGTCCTGCGGGCCACGGCCCCCAATGCCTAACGTCACTTTCTGAACCTACAAGAAAACTAGCTGTCTGACCCAAGACGGCGCCTGCGCCACAGCCAAACGAGCCAAACAGCAGGGCCCTGAGGGACGGACCGGGCCTGCGGGCCACGGCCCCCAGTGCCTAACGTCACTTTCTGAACCTACAAGAAACTAGCTGTCTGACCCAAAACGGCGCCTGCGCCACAGCCAAACAGCAGGGCCCCTGAAGGACGGACCGGCCCTCCGGGCCACGGCCCCTAGTGCCTAACGTCACTTTCTGAACCTACAAGAAAACTAGCTGTCTGAACTGTCTTCCAGTTACCAAAGCCTCACAAACGGCGCTCTTCTTCTTCTTCTTCTGCTGCTTCTTCTTCTTCTTCTTCCTCTTCTTCGTCTTCTTCGTTTTCTTCTTCTTCTTGTTGCTTCCTGGCTTCTTGTTTCTTGCTTCTTGCCGCTTGTTGCTTGTAATTGCTTCTTGTTTCTTGCTTCTTAGCTGTCTGACCCAAAACGGCGCCTGCGCCACAGCCAAACAGCAGGGCCCTGAAGGACGGGCCGGGCCTGCGGGCCACGGCCCCCATTGCCTAACGTCACTTTCTGAACCTACAAGAAGACTAGCTGTCTCAGCTGTCTTCCAGCTGCCAAAAGCTTCACAAACGGCGCCTTCGCCACACCAAAACAGCAGGGCCCTGAGGGACGGACCGGGCCTGCGCGCCACGGCCCCCACTGCCTAACGTCACTTTCTGAACCTACAAGAAAACTAGCTGTCTGACCCAAAACGGCGCCTGCGCCACAGCCAAACAGCAGGGCCCTGAGGGACGGACCGGGCCTGCGGGCCACGGCCCCCACTGCCTAACGTCACTTTCTGAACCTACAAGACTAGCTGTCTGACCCAAAACGGCGCCTGCGCCACAGCCAAACAGCAGGGCCCTGAGGGACGGACCGGGCCTGCGGGCCACGGCCCCCACTGCCTAACGTCACTTTCTGAACCTACAAGACTAGCTGTCTGACCCAAAACGGCGCCTGCGCCACAGCCAAACAGCAGGGCCCTGAGGGACGGACCGGGCCTGCGGGCCACGGCCCCCACTGCCTAACGTCACTTTCTGAACCTACAAGAAAACAGCTGTCTGACCCAAAACGGCGCCTGCGCCACAGCCAAACAGCAGGGCCCTGAGGGACGGACCGGGCCTCCGGGCCACGGCCCCCACTGCCTAACGTCACTTTCTGAACCTACAAGAAAACTAGCTGTCTGACCTGTATTCTAGCCGCCAAGCCGCCAAGGCTCACGCACGGCGCGCTCGCCACACCGAAACAGCAGGGCCCTGAGGGACGGACCGGGCCTGCGCCATACCCCCCACTGCCTAACGTCACTTTCTGAACCTACAAGAAAACTAGCTGTCTGAGCTGTCTTCCAGCCGCCAAGCCGCACAAACGGCGCCTTCGCCACACCAAAAAACAGCAGGGCCCTGAAGGACGGACCGGGCCTGCGGGCCACGGCCCCCAGTGCCTAACGTCACTTTCTGAACCTTCTTCGTCTTCTTCGTTTTCTTCTTCTTCTTTTTGTTGCTTCCTGGCTTCTTGTTTCTTGCTTCTTGCCGCTTGTTGCTTGTAATTGCTTCTTGCTTCTTGTTTCTTGTTTTCTTCTTCTTCTTGTTGCTTCCTGGCTTCTTGTTTCTTGCTTCTTGCCGCTTGTTGCTTGTAATTGCTTCTTGCTTCTTGTTTCTTGTTTCTTTCCCTTGCTGCTTGTACTGACTTCTTGGCCCTTGCTGCTGGTAATTTCTCCTCTGACGCGCTTTGAAATCCCCAAACCCGGTAGAGACTCTAACTATCTTAAAACAATTAAAAGTACAGTACGCTTGACCTTAGGAAAACATGTGCTGCCAAAATACACTTGCAGCAAAAATGTGATTTTTGTTTCCACAGGTGCAGTCCAAAAATGCGCTGTCCAAAAAAAATACACAATGTGCGGGTAAGAAACTTCACCCGCAGTAAACGTGCAAGTCCGATTTCCACACACACGTAAAATAAATACACCTGCACAAGACGCAGGTGCCCAAGGCGTAAAAAAAATACGCCTGGGCGAGACACAGGTGCCAAATGCGTAAAAAAAAATTACACTTTTGAGCAAAAAACGCATCGCAAATGCCCCAAAAATATGCAAAAAATACACAACGTCAAAACACCAAAAATACACATGGAGACAGGTGCATTTTAAATATGCCATGCCGGGAGACCAAAAATGCGCACGGAAGAAGGTGTATTTTCTGGTGGCGCAAGCTTTAAGCCACGTGAATTCCATATTCCTAAGCACATTTTGGCTTTGGCCACAATGACACGATTAAGGCGAATTTTAATTCCAAGATGCCTTAGAGAGTGTACCAGACTTTGGCGAACTCAATTATATAGTTGTGTTTCGCGTTTCAAGATATTTGGACATATTTGGACAGCGAGGCGAACATGTCTGGTGCCACGTACTTGGGGCAGGAGAGCCTCACCATGGAGAAGCAGCGATTCCTGGCATGTTTCCGTGTCTTTGCAGGTCAAAAGTCAAGGCTCAGTGAAGACCAAAGCCATTCCAGCCATTCCCAGGATTTCGAATTGTTTCGAAGCGTTTAGGGCCCAGGGCCGTTTCGAGTTCGATCGTCTGGAAGACACACGACAGGTGTGTTGCTGGCCAAGGGCAATCTGAAGAGGCAGAATTCCTCGAGCCGTTTCAGAGCCTTCAAAAAACATTTCTGCTAAATCAAAACGGAGATCTCGATGTTGACAAATGGCAATTTCCACTTTCCGATCGATACATCCAACACACCCTGTGAGGCTTTCACAGGTGCTTCTTCGGTCCTCTTGGCGGTGCTGAACGAAATGGCCAAAGAGATGAAGGCCGCCATGGCAGCCATGGCGTTTCAGTCTCTAGACGAATTGCCTTGCTCGGCAGACATTGAGAATTCAGTTATCGTGTCACGCTGTACATTATATTGTATTGTGCATCCCTACATGTCAGCACTGTTCAGTCTTGCCTATTTTCTTGCCTATTTGAGCCGTTTGCCGCCGTCTGCACCTCAAAAACTTATACCTTTGGCTGTTGGGACACGCCAGGAACGGGGTCTCTACCGACAGACGACTGTGTGACGCCAGGACGGGGCGATGGGCAAACATGCGCAAACAGGGCGATTGTCGACTTGATCATAGGACCACTATATATTTAAAAAAATCACATGCCCAGAGTTTGAAACAAAATCTGAATTTTGCACGTTTGCTATTTGAGAAACATCAAACCTGAAAAACACCATCAGTGAAGTTATCAATGGAATCACCAAACTCCAATTTTCAGAAGATGTCACGACGTGTTTGTGATATTTGGTGGATGTGTCTTGAGGCATCCAGCGAAGCCTGCGGGTTTTGACAAGCAGCTGCAGCTTCCGGCCACAAAACCAACGTACACTCCACTTGCACTCAACCAACTATTTGGCATAATTCAACATTCAACACCAACCCTGATTGGCAGAATATGGTTGGCAGAATCTGTTTAACGTGTGTTTTTTTTAGGCCTTAAAATCTTGAAATATCAACTTGGTCGTGCGACAGCATAAGACACGTTTCATTGTTGACATCGATGTGGCTTTTGCAGCTTCGCTTGATCTCGCGCTGAGCTTTGCAAGGAAAATACATTTCGGATGTCGCAAGGCCCATGGAGGGTCTGAAGAAAACAGCGACATCCCACTCAAAAGTGGATGGTCTGCGGACCCAGTTAAGTCAAGTGGAATGCTGAACAATTTGATTGGACGCTGTTGTTTTGTTTATTGGTTGACCAGTTGACATTATTTCTGTTTGTGATTAAACTGTGAACGATGTTGAACTTGTGTCGGATTTTTAATGTCCCAAAAAAAACACCATGTTGAGGAGGTCAGTGCTTCCTTCGGTGGTATGAACCCTGGCACCTCGCAAGGGTGGTAGATCCTGGTAGATCCGATGCGAAGCCCTCGTCACGATAGACGACTCGGCTTCGCCCCCGTCGCTCCGAGCTCCACAAGATGACGATGACAGACAACACACCAAAAAGAATCCAGTGATGATTTCACCATATGAAATCTTAAATATTCTTAAATAAATCATCACATAAATTATTTGTTTTAAGATTTATTTATTATGAAATCACATAAATAGTATTCAGATAAATCTTAAAACAATTCTTTTGATATCTCTGGATTAGGCAATGATGGAGATATTGACAGAGGTTTGGAGCCTTGAAAAGCCAATGCTGTTTGGTCAGACATGCAAGCAAACAACCTGAACCATTTGAAACCTCTCTTATTCTTGTAGCAGAGCATAGAACCTTGTGTGGAATTGGCTTAAACTTGAACTTCCAACAGCTTCCTACTGTAAGCTTGGGTCGGCGATTTTCATTCGGCTTTGATTTTTGTGAAATAATGCGCCGAAAAGATATGTGGCGGAAAACCTAAATTGTGCAGCCTGCCAGGCGTAGAATTCGGCTTCAATTGTGCTCCCAGGAACCAAGGGCTCTCAAAGTGTGAGGACGTCGCGGAGTCAACATTGAACCGCTTGAGTTCGAATTGAGTTCGAATTGAAATATGTTGAGATGCCTGAGATGCCTGAGATGCCTTTGGCTTCAGCGCCTCCAAAAGTTTTGTGAGCAAGGGCAAGACTCGGGCCTAATCCCAGTCTTTGCACCGCTGACTGCGTTCTGCCCTCTCAATCCACAGTTGTTTGGCAGGTGAATTTCGGAGAGGTCAAAGTAGGTCACATAGTAGTAGGATGTAGTAGGTCACAAAGTCATCTAAAGTGATACCAAGACTAACAAAGTCTGAGGGTGATGACAAACCATGGCATGGCACAACTCCACGGCATTTGTACGGTCTATGCATGTGTCATGAATAATTGACTCAGCTTACAAGAGCATTGACAGATGTCTTACATTGCTCACTACGAGTTTCACATAGTCTCACGATCTCTCCTTACGCCCTGCCACAGACTGGCATCGACCGTTTGATCATCGAAGCGTTCTGTGGCTTGGTGCCGGCAACAAAGCATTGACGCAATCTGACGAGACCGTCGAAACTAAACAACTCCTTCAAGTCACTTGCTGGTTTCTTGTTTTGTGGATCCTGATGTCCTAAACAGCCAGGAAAGTCAGAAGGCAGAAATACTTGCTATGTGTTTTGCAATGTATTTTGCCGTATGCTTTAGATGCATGTTGCACGGATGTGCAGATGTGCTGCACAAATGTGCAGCCGTTGATGCTTGCCTCTCGGCCCATTTAAAAGCTGGGACAGCACCAGGCCAGCAACTGCGGTAAATCCATTGGAGGTGGGAAGCACTGCGGTAAATCTGTAGTGGGTCCACAAGGCCCTTGTGGACAACTTGTGGACCCTTTAGACTCAATCTCTTCACCCTCTCCGGCGTCTGCAGATCGGCAGATCCAGCAGGTCGGCAGGTCGGCAAAGCGGCAGATCCGGTCTGGGTTCGGCTGACTTCCTGTGGATCTGCGGCTAGGCATGCCACGCAACCGGATGTCGTGTGGCGTGCAGTCTTCCAGCTGTGCGGCTGGTCCACGCAAATTCCCGGAATGAGCGAAACTTGCGAAAACTCAGTGGCGTTTCTGAAATCACAGAGAAACTCGACTGAAACTCGCTCAAATTCTCAGAGTTGGCTCAGTTTCAAGAAGTCAGCTGGCAGAGCTTCGCCTTCACCACAACTTGTTTTCGGATGGTCTGACATGGTTATATAGACATATATAGACTATGTTAGACTTGAAAGATGTTCATCTTCCGATGTAAATGGAGCTCTCGATTGTTTTGGCATGTGTTTTGGCATGGGTTTGCCAATGTATTATCATGTATTCAAAGCGTTGCTCTGCCCTGAGAGGTGGAGTTTGGGCTTTGCCGATGTTTCAATCACCCTGAACCCGGCGCACCTTTGTCACTGCAATTGTACAGACGGCAATGGACTTTCAACGGAGAGGTATCTTTGAGCCAAAGAACATGTCAGTGAAGGAGTAAAAGTATGCGAAGATTGCAGAGTGTTCATGAATATTGTACTTAGGAATGCATACCGCGAGTTGATGTGTACATGTACCCAGCCCGGGACGCTTTTCGGATGCTACTAGGTGTAATATCCATGAAAAGTAGTAGATCGCAATATGCAGTTTGGGGTTAACGACTTGCGGTGAGTACCTGAAAGCGTTTCCAATTTTTGCCCTACATCAGATTGGGACATATTGGGACAGTTGTTGACGTAACTGAGGTCATTTGGCTTCCATATTTCTTGAAGGTAGTGTAGACCTGCCTTGTATTTGCTGGCACGTATCACAAGAGTCCAAAAAAGGATCACCACCTTAACCACCTTCAATTCAGTAATTTTTCAGCCTTTCAGAATTCGTTCACAATCGCACCAAATTCAACGCACAGCATCGACGAGTCGTCACGGGAGTGACCGTAGTCCATCGCCATGACCACTGAAGAGGCTGGAGGTCTCCTGGCGAACGGAACAGCCGACGGTCCTGGGCTTGGCACCACGTGCATGCGCATCGCACACGCGTCGCGCATCCCACGTCGCTTCACGCGCACGTGCCGTGCCGATTCTGTGTGAAAACGTCGACCGTTGCTGTTCGCATTGCCCCAATCCTTTCCTCGCCGTGCTCAGATGGCAGAGCAATGCGGCACTAGCGATATAATTTGAAGATGCAAAGGATGGCAAGGAGGTGTTAATGATGAAAAGACATGGGAGCTTCTGAGCAGGAATGATATTGAGTTTGTTGAGTCTGTCTTCTGTTTTTCAAGATATTTAAAGCACTTTCCTTCTTGCCACGCCACCTTCTGGTTCCGCGCTCAATAGGGGTCGTTTGAAGCTACCCATCTCATCTTCCCCCTAGCCCAGAGACACTGGCAGGAGTTTTGGACTATATGAACTCTCACTTTTGGTTGACTCAAGTTGACTCTGTTTTTTTTTGAGATCTGGCATTACTTGTTTTTTCCACACAAACTGCTTCACGAGAGTTCAAGCAGGATTAGTTTGCAATGCTGAAGATCAAAGCTGCGGCACCTTGTACTGGTAGAGAGGTTTTATGATGTTTTATGATTATATTAGCAAATAGTAGCTTCGAAATACTTCCGCAAAAGGTGTGGTGTGTTGAACGTGTTAATTGGAAATGTTTGAATTGTTGCTTTTGACAATTTGACAATCACTCTTACTCTTCCTATCTCTTCCTATCTCTTCCTCCAGACCTTGAAGCACATGTTGGCCAAACCAGCGCTGTGGACATCAGTTTCGGGCAATGAACAAGACTTCAAGATCTTCAACTCACCAATACTCAAGAGCCCGTGTTGATCATAGTTGCTAGATGTTGCTAGGAGGTTTGGTCAGAACCATCGGAACTATCTATATCATACTATATCATACTATATCATACTATATCATACTATATCATACTATATCATACTATATCATACTATATCTATCTATTAGTCTATGGTCATTTTCGAATTTCCGGTTGAAACAACGCATAAATTTGCCTTTGAGATCTGCTACAGCTTTGAAGATCCAAACCATTTCACATGCATGGCGCCTGCCGTGTTCTGCTGGAACACATCTCAGGGTTGTGCCATCTTTGAATCTGCCTTCCCTGGTTGTGTCTTTTAACGGCCTCTGAGGCGCCTTGCTTTGGCGCCAAGTTGATGAAAGGAATCCATGCAGACACCGCAGCATACCGCAGCACTAGGATAAGAATGTTGAGATCTGCGAGGACATTTACAGAGGGGAGATGTGTTGACGAAGCAAAATCAGAAACACATTTAGTCCTTTGACATGGGCCTTGATTTTGGCCAAATGCTTACCTGGAGGTTTTGCATTTCACACAGCTTGCTGACATACTAGATGAATCTAATTGGGGACTCTTTTGGTTTGAAAGCTGCGGTTGATGTATGCGACCACAGTGACCAGTACGTGGTCTCACCTTTCATCTAACGGCACAGCGTGCGACAGACGATTGAAGGCGCGAAGGCTCGTGCTACTTTAGGTTCCAATCTGCTCGACAGATTCGCTCTCGGGGCTTTCCAGCCAGGCAGGCAACTTTGGCAGAGGCTCCATCTCAATCCCAGTGCAATATGAATGATATAAAAGATATTAAAAAACGAAGTGCCAATATCCCAATGAATGGTGCCACGGTGTGTTTGAAAGGACCTGCGAGAGAGCATTGGTTCAGTTTTGAAGGGCCAGAAGGACTTGTTTTCATTTGGGCTGTCCAGCAGTCCTGTTCAGTAATGGACACCCATCAGTGCCGAATTGGTGCTGGTGTCCAGTTGCGCCATAGCCATCCGATCGGCTTCAGAAAAAGGATCGCCGGAGTGAGTTTTCAGGGCTGCAACCAGTTCGGATTGAAACAACACGAAATGACATGAAACAACTGCAACTATCAGAACTATATAATACTAAATATATATATATATAATACTGTACATATATATATGTATAAATGTATAACTATAATATATCACAACTATCCACTTTGGATCGTCCCAACCTATCATTTGAGGCTGCCTGGATGTAATCGGGTGGCGCGCCCCGACCAAACGTCTCTTCACATTCTTAGAGGATCAATCACCGTGTAAGTTTGTCCAGACTTTTATCATCTTTCATTGTTTTCCAGAACCTGTGTTTGTGCACTTCAATTCCTGATGCAATACCTACCTTTCCACCCCATCCTTCTCAGGTGCTTTATCCACATCTGTAAGATGTCACTACTTATGATCTCTCTTGGCTCAGACGGAGAACCAATCGCAATCGTTTGGTAAAGCCAGGAAGGTAAGGACATCACCAAAGCAAAAAAGACAAGAGAATTGAACGACTGCAAAAAATCACCGGGTGATTCGGGCAAACTCGAACCAGGAATTAAGACCTTTGTTCATGACAGCGCTGACGCCGCCTTGAACGCTTCTGAGCGCCATGAATGCCTTGCAGCTTTTGCTTCAGCAGCAACTGGGTCCTCTGCTGAGTCTTTGACATTACAGTGCTTCCAAATTATCCGTGTTTGATCGTGTTTGTGTTTGTGATTGTTCTTTGGTGCTGTTTTGGTCATTTCCTTACTGCAATTCCCAGAGATCAAATTTGCAATTTTCTTTTTCAACTCACACGAATCTTGGTCTTCTGCAAAAGAGACGACGGACTTTGCTATATAAGTGGCTCTGATTGGCTTTGGTTTCCCGAAGCAGCAAAGGTGCGCTCCCGACAGCGGCGCCAGATGGGATGCCTCACAGTTGCAGATTCATAGTGCAGGGGGAAAATTGTGCTATTTGAAGGCTATTTGAAAGCTATTTGTGCCACCATTCAGATTTTGCTGAAAGATATGCACCAGGTCACAGCAACCGCGGTACGGATTCTTTTGGGGGACGGGGAAGACGGGGAAGACGGGGAAGACGGGGAAGACGGGGAAGACGGGGAAGACGGGGAAGACGGGGAAGACGACATTTTCAAACGCCGCTGAGCTCCCTGTATTGCGACATCGGGCCGCATCTCAGGAACGCCATGTTCTTGCAACAATACATGGCACAGATGCAGGTCGCTGACTCAGCTGACACAGAACAAGTAACTATTGTAGTAACTATTGTCGTAGCTCTTATAGTAACTCTTATAGCCTCATAAGGCCGTATAACCTAGCCTAATTTTGTTTGCGTTAGCAATTGCTGATCACCTGTCGCAGGCGAACCAGCTACAGCAGTTGCGACTGCAACACATGCTGGCTCCGAAGCAGACCGTGCCGAAGCCACAACTGACCAATTTTCTGTCCTTTGATGCTCCCGTGGAGCAAATTCTTCAAGAAGCCCCGAAAGTGGGGCGCGAGGAAAAATCGCAGTCCAAACCAGAGCCGCTCGGTTGCAACATAATTTCAACAGTATTCAGTCATATTCAATCCAATCAATCCAATTCCTGTTTCTGTTCAACCCAGTTCCTGACTGTTTCTCCTTGAGAACGAACGAATGTCCCTTGCGGATGCCAATAGATTCTGTGTAACTTCTGTGAGGAAACCAAAGGAGTCGCGTTCCAATGCTGAAGAGATGATGGCGAGGTGAGGAAGTAATGGACGCCATGTTCAATTTTTCACGAGAGGCTGCGTGAATATTCCTTTTACGATCAGCACAGTATCTGTTAGCATCCGTTACCCGTTAACGTCGTTACCGTCACATGGTGGGGATGTATCTCTGAAAGGTGCATGGCCTTTGCACAGCAGAAGGCCGAAGAAAAAGGGCACAAGGTACTGCAGGTACCACCGCAGGTGCAGTCGCTTTGGATGACATGGTTCCTTTGGTTCCTTTGGTTCCTTTGGTTCCTTTGGTTCCTTTGGTTCTTTTATTCATCCCCGAGCTTGAAACACTTTGTTGGCAAACCTTTGGATAGGTGAATGAACTTTGCACTTTTCGATGACTTTGTGTGTTATGTTCCTTCAACCTCTTCTGGTAAGCTGCAAAAGGCCATGAGAACAAAGCGAGAGAATTTGTTTTTTGAGAAAGTTGTTGGATCATTGCAGGATTAACAAAGCAAGTGTTGTGGCAGTTGTAGCATTCTAATTCTCTTTCCATGGCATTCTACAGTGCTGTGACCAAAGGTGGAGCAAGTACCGCCACCGCCGCCAGATGAGCCACCAGCGCCACCCCAGGCGCGATGTGCTGATGCTTCAGCGTTCCACCTGCAGTTTGGATGTCAATCTTCTCTGTGAAGCATTCCACTCTGCATTGAATCAATCTGAATCACAACGAAACTGGGACTTCAGACTATAGAACAGTATCCCCTATTGCAGAGCACCTGGACTTTGGCTGTGGCGCAGTGGAAGAAAACCACTTTGAAAGATGTTGAAAGTGAAATAAAGCGAAATATTGAAATGAGAAAACGATAGAAAACGTGGTACATCCAGGTGGGACACGGTGGGATGCGCCGCGCACGCACTGCACCAGGAAATCCTGCCACCGTCTCCACCGAGATCTCCCAGTCCAAGTCCCCGTCCGGTGGTGGTTCCGCCACCTCGGCCTGTGGTGGTGCCACCTCCGGTCGTTCCAAAAGCCATGCCACGGCCACCGATGCAGATCAAGTCGAAGCGCCAAAAAGGCGATCGGAGACGTGTTGAAACATGTTGAAACCATGAAACATGGAGATACACATTTTTTGAAATTTTGATTTTGAAGTGAAGACTCAGATTCTTAGGAAAATGCAGAGGAAACACATGTGAATATTAATAATATGATAATATACGTAGGTGAGGGGAATGAGGAAATGGAAGAAAATGAAGGGAAGATAGATGAAGATAGTACGTAAATAAGTGGCACTCTTGACAAACGATGAGCAAAGGAGCAAAGGAGCAAAGGAGCAAAGGAGCAAAGGCACTATCTCATTGGTTTATAAGTTCAAACATTGGCTTGGACTTTTGGACATTGGTTTAAGCTCGCAGGCGTGCCTGATATGCTCGCTCCTCCACCGCCTCTACAGAACAATCTGTCGCTTGTCAGCACAAGGCATGTCTGGGCATGTCGCAGATTGTGGCAGTCCCCTAAAATGATTCGAACCATTTCGAAACGGTGAAACGCCGTGAAATGACGAAAACAAACAACGAACTCGTTGAATTGTTGAACTCGTTGAATTCCCTTCCCGAGCCTTTGCCTCTCGAAGCATTCCGGGGTCGGTTGGACGTCAGTCTTCCTGCAGAAAGCTTGCCAATGAAGCGAATAAACTGCTGTCCAGTTGTCAACAAATTTTACATGCAGAGAAAGGCCTTTCGATGCTTCTCCCTTTTTCAGCTCCTCAGGTTTTCGGGGTGGATGGAGCAAATGCAAGCAGCCCAACGGCAAAATGAAGTTCCAGCCCCAAAGGAGCAGCACGAGCCGGCGGAGGTCCCGCAGTTTGAGGTACCCACCGCACGGCAAGTGAGCCAAGTGGGCCTACCCAGCAAAAGCCGAAGTAAAGGTCGAGACAGTCCAAGTTCGAAACATTCGAAACATTCCAAACATTCGAAACATTCGAGGCACTCGAAACATGGGAACAGAAGCAGAGACCCATCGAGCAAACTTCGCAAGCGAAGAAAGCACAGCAGAGACCGAAGTGGACGACGCAGTCAAAAGGAGAAGCAGCAACGAAGTGAGGAGCAAAGAGAAAGAGCCAAGACAAGAGACTCAGATGAGAAGATTGAGAAGCGAAGGAAAGAAAAGAAAGAGAGAAGCGACAGAAGCGGCAGAACCGAGACCCAAAAGCGCAGAGCCAGAAGCCTCAGCCGCCATCCTGACAAATGCAGCTCTCACTCTGAGGCGCTCTTTCAAGCGGTGCATTGAAATATAATCATTATAAATTATGATTTCGTATCATACTGTTACCCATCGAAATCCAATAAAGCTCAACCACACTGCCACACTTGGCTGGTTTGCATCAGAAGGGAAGTATGCATTCGTTTCTCTTTGGTCTTGTTCCAAAAAATAGACATGCATGAGGCTGTTACATTTTAAAAAATTGAAGCCATTTGGGGTTCCACTTAGTCTTAATTACCGAGAAGGTGTTGTGCTCGAGTCCAAAAAAGGCATCCCCGCTGCTATACACCTCAGTTTCCGCATTTGACTGCTAACATTGCACGCCTTCACTGGCGTTGCAACCTGGCAATGGCAGATTTGATTGATTTCAATGAACCTGCGCAATTCCGTGTTCACTTGTCTGTTTGTGCAGGAGATTCCTGCAGAACATGCGGCTTATCCTTCTTTCACTGGAAAAGGTGCAGAAGTTCCACCACAGATAGCTGCAAATGTGCCACAGGCTGGGTTTGGCTGAATATAAAAGGTATTGACAGGATTGCGGGTCAGAGGCCATGTACCAGAACAGAAATTTTCTGCAGGGCCAGAAGTTATACGAAGTCAGGGTTGTTTTCCAACAAATTCCTTCTGTGATTGAGGCGCCAGAGAGAAATAGTGTGCTGGTTTGGCCCTTCTGGTTCTGGTTTGGCATCTTTGTCCTCTGCCAGGAGAACCAATTTGGTCTTGAAATGGGTCGAGATGCAGCTTCTCGTGCACAAGCCGCTCACTTCTTCCAGCAGGCGGCAAGAGTCAGGTTCACACTTTACTTGAGGAATGAACTTGTCCTGTGCTGGTTACCTCCTGCAATGTTCATTTGGCTGTTTGTGCAGGAGATTCCTGCAGAACATGCGGCTTATCCTTCTTTCACTGGAAAAGGTGCAGAAGTTCCACCGCAGATAGCTGCAAATGTGCCACAGGCTGGGTTTGGCTGAGTACAAAATGGATTGACAGGATTGCGGGTCAGAGGACATGTACCAGAACAGAAATTTTCTGCAGGGCCAGAAGTTATACGAAGTCAGGGTTGTTTTCCAACAAATTCCTTCTGTGATTGAGGCGCCAGAGAGAAATAGTGTGCTGGTTTGGCCCTTCTGGTTCTGGTTTGGCATCTTTGTCCTCTGCCAGGAGAACCAATTTGGTCTTGAAATGGGTCGAGATGCAGCTTCTCGTGCACAAGCCGCTCACTTCTTCCAGCAGGCGGCAAGAGTCAGGTTCACACTTTACTTGAGGAATGAACTTGTCCTGTGCTGGTTACCTCCTGCAATGTTCATTTGGCTGTTTGTGCAGGAGATTCCTGCAGAACATGCGGCTTATCCTTCTTTCACTGGAAAAGGTGCAGAAGTTCCACCACAGATAGCTGCAAATGTGCCACAGGCTGGGTTTGGCTGAATATAAAAGGTATTGACAGGATTGCGGGTCAGAGGCCATGTACCAGAACAGAAATTTTCTGCAGGGCCAGAAGTTATACGAAGTCAGGGTTGTTTTCCAACAAATTCCTTCTGTGATTGAGGCGCCAGAGAAATAGTGTGCTGGTTTGGCCCTTCTGGTTCTGGTTTGGCATCTTTGTCCTCTGCCAGGAGAACCAATTTGGTCTTGAAATGGGTCGAGATGCAGCTTCTCGTGCACAAGCCGTTCACTTCTTCCAGCAGGCGGCAAGAGTCAGGTTCACACTTTACTTGAGGAATGAACTTGTCTTGTGTTTGTTGTACACTTACTGCAAGGCTAGCAGGTTGGGCAGTTCAAAAAATGGTGTGGGGAGAGGAGCAGAAGTCGAGTATTGAAAGGGGCCACTTCAATAATAAAAGTCATTGTCAAAAAGGACTAAATGCCACATAATACCACAACTTTTTGCACGTAGTAGAGCACAAAGACAGACAGCCTATTGTCTGCTATTTGTTTTTGATGTTTGCGTTTTTGATTTGCCAATTGTTTCAAAAAACAAAATGAGCTGCAGTACTATACAGTGTTGGTAAGAGCTGCAGAGGAAAATGATGATATTTGAGATGCTTGCTGCATTGCTACCTTCAAGAAATGACAATCTGCAGCCTTTTCTGCATATCTCTACTGAAACAACCAACATTGCTAATCCACAAAACCACTTTTTATGTTATCGATGTTATCGCTTTTGTTTAGCACAGGAACAGCAAATCAACCACACACACATAATCTCAAACATTGGACATGCTGGAGCCATTTTGGGTCCACATAGGCTCAAATTCCGAGAGGCATGCAAAACACCAAAGACCACTGTTATAGGGCGTTTTGCTCGAGTCCAAAAAAGGCATCCCCGCTGCTATACACCTCAGTTTGCGCATTTGACTGCTAACATTGCAACGCGCCTTTACTGCCGTTGCAATCTGGCAATCGGCAGATTTGATTGATGTCAATGAACCAGCGCAATTCCCTGTTCATTTGGCTGTTTGTGCAGGAGATTCCTGCAGAACATGCGGCTTATCCTTCTTTGGCTGGAAAAGGTGCAGAAGTTCCACCACAGATAGCTGCAAATGTGCCACAGGCTGGGTTTGGCTGAATATAAAAGGTATTGACAGGATTGCGGGTCAGAGGCCATGCACCAGAACAGAAATTTTCTGCAGGGCCAGAAGTTATACGAAGTCAGGGTTGTTTTCCAACAAATTCCTTCTGTGATTGAGGCGCCAGAGAGAAATAGTGTGCTGGTTTGGCCCTTCTGGTTCTGGTTTGGCATCTTTGTCCTCTGCCAGGAGAACCAATTTGGTCTTGAAATGGGTCGAGATGCAGCTTCTCGTGCACAAGCCGCTCACTTCTTCCAGCAGGCGGCAAGAGTCAGGTTCACACTTTACTTGAGGAATGAACTTGTCCTGTGCTGGTTACCTCCTGCAATGTTCATTTGGCTGTTTGTGCAGGAGATTCCTGCAGAACATGCGGCTTATCCTTCTTTCACTGGAAAAGGTGCAGAAGTTCCACCGCAGATAGCTGCAAATGTGCCACAGGCTGGGTTTGGCTGAGTACAAAATGGATTGACAGGATTGCGGGTCAGAGGACATGTACCAGAACAGAAATTTTCTGCAGGGCCAGAAGTTATACGAAGTCAGGGTTGTTTTCCAACAAATTCCTTCTGTGATTGAGGCGCCAGAGAGAAATAGTGTGCTGGTTTGGCCCTTCTGGTTCTGGTTTGGCATCTTTGTCCTCTGCCAGGAGAACCAATTTGGTCTTGAAATGGGTCGAGATGCAGCTTCTCGTGCACAAGCCGCTCACTTCTTCCAGCAGGCGGCAAGAGTCAGGTTCACACTTTACTTGAGGAATGAACTTGTCCTGTGCTGGTTACCTCCTGCAATGTTCATTTGGCTGTTTGTGCAGGAGATTCCTGCAGAACATGCGGCTTATCCTTCTTTCACTGGAAAAGGTGCAGAAGTTCCACCACAGATAGCTGCAAATGTGCCACAGGCTGGGTTTGGCTGAGTATAAAATGGATTGACAGGATTGCGGGTCAGAGGACATGTACCAGAACAGAAATTTTCTGCAGGGCCAGAAGTTATACGAAGTCAGGGTTGTTTTCCAACAAATTCCTTCTGTGATTGAGGCGCCAGAGAGAAATAGTGTGCTGGTTTGGCCCTTCTGGTTCTGGTTTGGCATCTTTGTCCTCTGCCAGGAGAACCAATTTGGTCTTGAAATGGGTCGAGATGCAGCTTCTCGTGCACAAGCCGCTCACTTCTTCCAGCAGGCGGCAAGAGTCAGGTTCACACTTTACTTGAGGAATGAACTTGTCCTGTGCTGGTTACCTCCTGCAATGTTCATTTGGCTGTTTGTGCAGGAGATTCCTGCAGAACATGCGGCTTATCCTTCTTTCACTGGAAAAGGTGCAGAAGTTCCACCACAGATAGCTGCGAATGTGCCACAGGCTGGGTTTGGCTGAATATAAAAGGTATTGACAGGATTGCGGGTCAGAGGCCATGTACCAGAAGGGGATTTGTCTTGTCATTGTTCTTGTCATGGTACTGTGGATGGAAGTGCAATTTTTCTCGCTGGTCTAGTTTGTTCGCATCTCATCATTCCACTAAAGCTACCTTTTTGGGATGTACCGTGACAGGAAACGCCTCGAGTCATACCTCCTCGAATCATCCCTCCTCGTGTCGTGCCTGTGCCAAATCAAGAGGCGCCTGTCAGATTGAACATTGACCAGACTGAGCACAAAATAAACATGAGCAGTGTGAAAGTCATGCGTGCCTTGTGCGACCCTGCAACCATTCTGACAGGACATGCAGTCGGTGCCATTTCCCTACAACTTCATGAAGGGAAAAGGAAAAGGCAAAGACGCGTCAGCGCCGGAGCCAGATGACATGCCCGAGGCGCCTGTCCGATAAGACTCCATCGTTTGAACTTCTCACGCACAGGATTTAGCCCCAAAACAGTGATTCCTCATTGTGGTGTTAAGTTCTTTTTTGCAGAGATTGCAGAGCTAGTCCAAAAGTTCAGAGATGAGCTTTGAAAATGGAAGAGTAGACAAATCCAAAGTGAGAACGTGATCATGAGCAGTCTGAAAGTTTTCGGATACTTTGTGGAACCATGCCGCCATTCTGACAGGCCATGCAGTCTTCTCAATTTCCCTACAACTTCATGAGCGGAAAGGGTAAAGGCAAAGATGCAGCACCGCCAGAGCCAGAGAACATTCCTCAGGCACTTTTGAGTGCCTTTCAAAGGTTTTTCTCTGATTGAGACGCTTGTTCCACCTTTCTTCATAGAAAAATTGACATGGTGATTTCAGTTTTGTCTTGGGAAATTTTGTTGTGACAGCAAGCTAGTAACTAGCCCACTCTGCAACACCCAAAATTCAAAGAAGCACTCGTGCAGAGCTTCATTTAGTCAACACAAGCAGATGGCAATGTCAGCGCAAAAATGAACATGAGCAGTCGTTGAAATGTTAAGACACAAGTGCAATCAAGTGCAATAGGTGGGATAGGTTTCAACCCTTGCCGTTCCTGTTGTCCTGGCAGGATTTGCAGTATGCTTCCGTATTCAGCTTCAAAGGTGGAAAGGGAAAAGGCAAAGATGCCTTCCAGCAGGAACAAGAAGACATGCCGGAGGCGCCTGTCAGATTGAACATTGAACTGGTGACCAGTCTGAGCCTGAGCACAAAATAGACGTAAAAAGTGGTTTATAAGATGTTGGAAGCAAACCTTTTTCGTTTCTCCAACCAGCTAGATGATCCTCTTCCTTGATCAAGGGGAGGTCAGAAGTGATGTCAGAAGTGATGTCAGAAGTGATGATGTCAGAAGTTTGAACAGTTTTTTGAACGAACATGTAAACTATTCCAGTCCAAACATACCCATTTTTGTAAGTCATGCGTGCCTTGTGCGACCCTGCAACCATTCTGACAGGACATGCAGTCGGTGCCATTTCCCTACAACTTCATGAAGGGAAAAGGAAAAGGCAAAGATGCGTCACCGCCGGAGCCAGATGACATGCCCGAGGCGCCTGTCCGATAAGACTCCATCGTTTGAACTTCTCACGCACAGGATTTAGCCCCGAAACAGTGATTCCTCATTGTGGTGTTAAGTTCTTTTTTGCAGAGATTGCAGAGCTAGTCCAAAAGTTCAGAGATGAGCTTTGAAAATGGAAGAGTAGACAAATCCAAAGTGAGAACGTGATCATGAGCAGTCTGAAAGTTTTCGGATACTTTGTGGAACCATGCCGCCATTCTGACAGGCCATGCAGTCTTCTCAATTTCCCTACAACTTCATGAGCGGAAAGGGTAAAGGCAAAGATGCAGCACCGCCAGAGCCAGAGAACATTCCTCAGGCACTTTTGAGTGCCTTTCAAAGGTTTTTATTTGATTGAGACGCCTGTTCCACCTTTCTTCATAGAAAAATTGACATGGTGATTTCAGTTTTGTCTTGGGAAATTTTGTTGTGACAGCAAGCTAGTAACTAGCCCACTCTGCAACACCCAAAATTCAAAGAAGCACTCGTGCAGAGCTTCATTTAGTCAACACAAGCAGATGGCAATGTCAGCGCAAAAATGAACATGAGCAGTCGTTGAAATGTTAAGACACAAGTGCAATCAAGTGCAATAGGTGGGATAGGTTTCAACCCTTGCCGTTCCTGTTGTCCTGGCAGGATTTGCAGTATGCTTCCGTATTCAGCTTCAAAGGTGGAAAGGGAAAAGGCAAAGATGCCTTCCAGCAGGAACAAGAAGACATGCCGGAGGCGCCTGTCAGATTGAACATTGAACTGGTGACCAGTCTGAGCCTGAGCACAAAATAGACGTAAAAAGTGGTTTATAAGATGTTGGAAGCAAACCTTTTTTGTTTCTCCAACCAGCTAGATGATCCTCTTCCTTGATCAAGGGGAGGTCAGAAGTGATGTCAGAAGTGATGTCAGAAGTGATGTCAGAAGTTTGAACAGTTTTTTGAACGAACATGTAAACTATTCCAGTCCAAACATACCCATTTTTGTAAGTCATGCGTGCCTTGTGCGACCCTGCAACCATTCTGACAGGACATGCAGTCGGTGCCATTTCCCTACAACTTCATGAAGGGAAAAGGAAAAGGCAAAGATGCGTCACCGCCGGAGCCAGATGACATGCCCGAGGCGCCTGTCCGATAAGACTCCATCGTTTGAACTTCTCACGCACAGGATTTAGCCCCGAAACAGTGATTCCTCATTGTGGTGTTAAGTTCTTTTTTGCAGAGATTGCAGAGCTAGTCCAAAAGTTCAGAGATGAGCTTTGAAAATGGAAGAGTAGACAAATCCAAAGTGAGAACGTGATCATGAGCAGTCTGAAAGTTTTCGGATACTTTGTGGAACCATGCCGCCATTCTGACAGGCCATGCAGTCTTCTCAATTTCCCTACAACTTCATGAGCGGAAAGGGTAAAGGCAAAGATGCAGCACCGCCAGAGCCAGAGAACATTCCTCAGGCACTTTTGAGTGCCTTTCAAAGGTTTTTCTTTGATTGAGACGCTTGTTCCACCTTTCTTCATAGAAAAATTGACATGGTGATTTCAGTTTTGTCTTGGGAAATTTTGTTGTGACAGCAAGCTAGTAACTAGCCCACTCTGCAACACCCAAAATTCAAAGAAGCACTCGTGCAGAGCTTCATTTAGTCAACACAAGCAGATGGCAATGTCAGCGCAAAAATGAAGATGGCAGTGTCAGTTGCAATGAACATGAGCAAGTGACACCAAGTGCAATAGGTGGGATAGGTTTCAACCCTTGCCGTTCCTGTTGTCCTGGCAGGATTTGCAGTATGCTTCCGTATTCAGCTTCAAAGGTGGAAAGGGAAAAGGCAAAGATGCCTTCCAGCAGGAACAAGAAGACATGCCGGAGGCGCCTGTCAGATTGAACATTGAACTGGTGACCAGTCTGAGCCTGAGCACAAAATAGACGTGAAAAGTGGTTTATAAGATGTTGGAAGCAAACCTTTTTCGTTTCTCCAACCAGCTAGATGATCCTCTTCCTTGATCAAGGGGAGGTCAGAAGTGATGTCAGAAGTGATGTCAGAAGTGATGTCAGAAGTTTGAACAGTTTTTTGAACGAACATGTAAACTATTCCAGTCCAAACATACCCATTTTTGTAAGTCATGCGTGCCTTGTGCGACCCTGCAACCATTCTGACAGGACATGCAGTCGGTGCCATTTCCCTACAACTTCATGAAGGGAAAAGGAAAAGGCAAAGATGCGTCACCGCCGGAGCCAGATGACATGCCCGAGGCGCCTGTCCGATAAGACTCCATCGTTTGAACTTCTCACGCACAGGATTTAGCCCCGAAACAGTGATTCCTCATTGTGGTGTTAAGTTCTTTTTTGCAGAGATTGCAGAGCTAGTCCAAAAGTTCAGAGATGAGCTTTGAAAATGGAAGAGTAGACAAATCCAAAGTGAGAACGTGATCATGAGCAGTCTGAAAGTTTTCGGATACTTTGTGGAACCATGCCGCCATTCTGACAGGCCATGCAGTCTTCTCAATTTCCCTACAACTTCATGAGCGGAAAGGGTAAAGGCAAAGATGCAGCACCGCCAGAGCCAGAGAACATTCCTCAGGCACTTTTGAGTGCCTTTCAAAGGTTTTTTTCTGATTGAGACGCTTGTTCCACCTTTCTTCATAGAAAAATTGACATGGTGATTTCAGTTTTGTCTTGGGAAATTTTGTTGTGACAGCAAGCTAGTAACTAGCCCACTCTGCAACACCCAAAATTCAAAGAAGCACTCGTGCAGAGCTTCATTTAGTCAACACAAGCAGATGGCAATGTCAGCGCAAAAATGAACATGAGCAGTCGTTGAAATGTTAAGACACAAGTGCAATCAAGTGCAATAGGTGGGATAGGTTGCAACCCTTGCCGTTCCTGTTGTCCTGGCAGGATTTGCAGTATGCTTCCGTATTCAGCTTCAAAGGTGGAAAGGGAAAAGGCAAAGATGCCTTCCAGCAGGAACAAGAAGACATGCCGGAGGCGCCTGTCAGATTGAACATTGAACTGGTGACCAGTCTGAGCCTGAGCACAAAATAGACGTGAAAAGTGGTTTATAAGATGTTGGAAGCAAACCTTTTTCGTTTCTCCAACCAGCTAGATGATCCTCTTCCTTGATCAAGGGGAGGTCAGAAGTGATGTCAGAAGTGATGTCAGAAGTGATGTCAGAAGTTTGAACAGTTTTTTGAACGAACATGTAAACTATTCCAGTCCAAACATACCCATTTTTGTAAGTCATGCGTGCCTTGTGCGACCCTGCAACCATTCTGACAGGACATGCAGTCGGTGCCATTTCCCTACAACTTCATGAAGGGAAAAGGAAAAGGCAAAGACGCGTCACCGCCGGAGCCAGATGACATGCCCGAGGCGCCTGTCCGATAAGACTCCATCGTTTGAACTTCTCGCGCACAGGATTTAGCCCCGAAACAGTGATTCCTCATTGTGGTGTTAAGTTCTTTTTTGCAGAGATTGCAGAGCTAGTCCAAAAGTTCAGAGATGAGCTTTGAAAATGGAAGAGTAGACAAATCCAAAGTGAGAACGTGATCATGAGCAGTCTGAAAGTTTTCGGATACTTTGTGGAACCATGCCGCCATTCTGACAGGCCATGCAGTCTTCTCAATTTCCCTACAACTTCATGAGCGGAAAGGGTAAAGGTAAAGATGCGGCACCGCCAGAGCCAGAGAACATTCCTCAGGCACTTTTCTGATAAAACTGGGTTTTTGCTTTTTGTAACTTATCGTGCAGAAGATTTAACGCAGAGAAGGTGATTCCTCATGGCGCTAAGTCCTTTTCCGAAGAGCTATATCGTCCAGCCTGCGAAGCCTTTGTCCTTTAAGCAACCATCCTGACAGGGCAACTCGCTACCACTTGCCTTCAATTTCATGAAGGGAAAGGGAAAAGGCAGAGAAGCGGTGATGGGACAGTTTCCCAAGGCGAACCTGCTGGGTGGGGTGAGAAGTGAGCGAACAAAGGTTGTGACCCAAGATTTGGATGGTGCATGATTGTGCCATACAAAGGATGACCCGGATGACCCATTTTGATCCGTTTGGCAGGTCCATTTGGTCCATTAGTACCCGAATGGTACCCGAATGGTACCCGAATTGGTATTCCGTTGGTACTCCATAGCCATAGCATGCCATAGCCGAGAAAGAAACAGACAGACCGTGCCAGGCACTTCCGGTTGGACTTCAACAGCCCAGTGACACGCCAAGTCTTTCTCCAGCCAAGTCAGCAGAGCCTCAGGCCTGATGGCCATGTATCATTACTATTCATTACTCATATTAGAAATTAGGAATTTTTGTTAAATATGGGCGAGTAGCGGTGACACAAGTCACATTATCTATAGCATTGTTTAAATTGTTACATTATCATATAATTGCAATATATATATATATTACACATGATAAAACACTGTATTGTGATGATATATTTCAAACATCATTTATATATATATATTTTTCCTATCTCTTCCTTTGGGCTGTGCCTCTTTCTCATCGTGCAGTGTTCCATGAACCTTTCTGCAGGATTTACAGACCAAAACGAAAATGCCTGAGCCTCCTGGTCTTCAGGCACGTGCAGCACATAAATATCCATAAATGCAATTAAATGCCATGATAAAAGCAGTAGTTTGTCATCAATTCTTTCTACAAATCATATCATCCCTTTGCATCCTTTTAAGATCTTTTAAGCCTCTTCGCACTTTTCATAGAGAATGACACGAGTCACGAAAATCGTCAGGATGAAGATAGAATAGTCATGACTCAGTCATGACATGTCTCCCACCCCTTTTGCCTCTCCACTGTTTTTCGCCACCTGCAGCTGCAGCACCTGCACCCCTCCACATGCGCAATTTTTTTCGCCAGGCAGCATCGACAACTCGTGAGCCAAATGCGTTAGCCAAGGCGGAGAAAGAACCATAGGAAACAGCCCTGGATCAACGGTGAACATCGGAATAATATTAAACAAATGGAGAGAATCAAAGAGAATCAAAGAGAATCAAAGAGAATCACAGAGAATCACAGAGAATCACAGAGAATCACAGAGAATCAAAGAGAATCAAAGAGAATCAAAGAGAATCAAAGAGAATCAAAGAGAATCAAAGAGAATCAAAGAGAATCAAAGAGAATCAAAGAGAATCAAAGAGAATCAAAGAGAATCAAAGAGAATCAAAGAGAATCAAAGAGAGATCAAGAGAATCACAGAGAATCACAGAGAATCAAGAGAATCAAAGAGAATCAAAGAGAATCAAAGAGAATCAAAGAGAATCAAAGAGAATCAAAGAGAATCAAAGAATCAAAGAGAATCAAAGAGAATCAAAGAGAATCAAAGAGAATCAAAGAGAATCAAAGAGAATCAAAGAGAATCAAAGAGAATCAAAGAGAATCAAAGAGAATCAAAGAGAATCAAAGAGAATCAAAGAGAATCAAAGAGAATCAAAGAGAATCAAGAGAATCAAGAGAATCAAGAGAATCACAGAGAATCAAGAGAATCAAGAGAATCAAAGAGAATCAAAGAGAATCAAAGAGAATCAAAGAGAATCAAAAGAGAATCACAGAGAATCACAGAGAATCAAAGAGAATCAAAGAGAATCAAAGAGAATCAAAGAGAATCAAAGAGAATCAAAGAGAATCAAAGAGAATCAAAGAGAATCAAAGAGAATCAAAGAGAATCAAAGAGAATCACAGAGAATCACAGAGAATCACAGAGAATCACAGAGAATCACAGAGAATCACAGAGAATCAAAGAGAATCAAAGAGAATCAAAGAGAATCAAAGAGAATCAAAGAGAATCAAAGAGAATCACAGAGAATCACAGAGAATCACAGAGAGATCAAAGAGAATCAAAGAGAATCAAAGAGAATCAAAGAGAATCAAAGAGAATCAAAGAGAATCAAAGAGAATCAAAGAGAATCAAAGAGAATCAAAGAGAATCAAAGAGAATCAAAGAGAATCAAAGAGAATCAAAGAGAATCAAGAGAATCACAGAGAATCACAGAGAATCACAGAGAATCACAGAGAATCACAGAGAATCACAGAGAATCAAAGAGAATCAAAGAGAATCAAAATCAAAGAGAATCAAAGAGAATCAAGAGAATCAAAGAGAATCAAAGAGAATCAAAGAGAATCAAAGAGAATCAAAGAGAATCAAGAGAGAATCAAAGAATCAAAGAGAATCAAAGAGAATCAAAGAGAATCAAGAGAATCACAGAGAATCACAGAGAATCACAGAGAATCAAGAGAATCAAGAGAATCACAGAGAATCACAGAGAATCAAAGAGAATCAAAGAGAATCAAAGAGAATCAAAGAGAATCAAAGAGAATCAAAGAGAATCAAAGAGAATCAAAGAATCAAAGAGAATCAAAGAGAATCAAAGAGAGAATCAAAGAGAGAATCAAAGAGAGAATCACAGAGAATCACAGAGAATCAAAGAGAATCAAAGAGAATCAAAGAGAATCAAAGAGAATCACAGAGAATCAAAGAGAATCAAAGAGAATCAAAGAGAATCAAAGAGAATCAAAGAGAATCAAGAGAATCAAAGAGAATCACAGAGAATCACAGAGAATCACAGAGAATCACAGAGAATCACAGAGAATCACAGAGAATCCAAAGAGAATCAAAGAGAATCAAAGAGAATCAAAGAGAATCAAAGAGAATCAACGAGAATCAAAGAGAATCAAAGAGAATCAAAGAGAATCAAAGAGAATCAAAGAGAATCAAAGAGAATCAAAGAGAATCAAAGAATCACAGAGAATCAAAGAATCAAAGAGAATCAAAGAGAATCAAAGAGAATCAAAGAGAATCAAAGAGAATCAAAGAGAATCACAGAGAATCACAGAGAATCAAAGAGAATCAAAGAGAATCAAAGAGAATCAAAGAGAATCAAAGAGAATCAAAGAGAATCAAAGAGAATCACAGAGAGAGAATCACAGAGAATCAAAGAGAATCAAAGAGAATCAAAGAGAATCAAAGAGAATCAAAGAGAATCACAGAGAATCACAGAGAATCACAGAGAATCAAAGAGAATCAAAGAGAATCAAAGAGAATCAAAGAGAATCAAAGAGAATCAAAGAGAATCAAAGAGAATCACAGAGAATCACAGAGAATCACAAAGAGAATCAAAGAGAATCAAAGAGAATCAAAGAGAATCAAAGAGAATCAAAGAGAATCAAAGAGAATCAAAGAGAATCACAGAGAATCAAAGAGAATCAAAGAGAATCAAAGAGAATCAAAGAGAATCACAGAGAATCACAGAGAATCACAGAGAATCACAGAGAATCACAGAGAATCAAAGAGAATCAAAGAGAATCAAAGAGAATCAAAGAGAATCACAGAGAATCACAGAGAATCACAGAGAATCAAAGAGAATCAAAGAGAATCAAAGAGAATCAAAGAGAATCAAAGAGAATCAAAGAGAATCAAAGAGAGTCACAGAGAATCACAGAGAATCAAAGAGAATCAAAGAGAATCAAAGAGAATCAAAGAGAATCACAGAGAATCACAGAGAATCACAGAGAATCACAGAGAATCACAGAGAATCAAAGAGAATCACAGAGAATCACAGAGAATCAAAGAGAATCAAAGAGAATCAAAGAGAATCAAAGAGAATCAAAGAGAGAATCAAAGAGAGAATCAAAGAGAATCAAAGAGAATCAAAGAGAATCAAAGAGAATCAAAGAGAATCACAGAGAATCAAAGAGAATCAAAGAGAATCAAAGAGAATCAAAGAGAATCACAGAGAATCACAGAGAATCACAGAGAATCACAGAGAATCACAGAGAGTCACAGAGAATCACAGAGAATCACAGAGAATCAAAGAGAATCAAAGAGAATCAAGGAGAATCAAAGAGAATCAAAGAGAATCTGAAAAGAGATGAAAAATATAGAACTGATAGAACCAAAATGAACCAAATATCATGCGGATCTTGGAGATCCTATTGATCTCCCTGCGCAATTCACATGTCCACTCAAACGATTTCGAAGGCGGCGATCGCAGCTTTGAACCGCTCTGGTTGGAGGCCTCTTGAGTCCAAGGCAAGTTTCGTCGCAAATCCGTGGCGAAGTGGCGAATCCCACCAATTTGAGTTTTTTTTTTTTTTAAATTCAAAGTTTGCAAGTCTTTTTTTATGTTTTTCTTAAGCTTTTTATGCTTTTTGTCTAACTTTTTCTTTGGCTTTCTTGGACATTTTCTACATTTTATGAAATTCAATATATTTCTTCAGTTTGCAACGAGCACTGGCACCGTTGCGCTCTGGACAGGGCAGGAGGCCGCCAGAGCCGGAAAACGAACCCTCGCAGGTGCGCTGCACTGAGGCACCGCAGAAACTGTAAAAATATAAGACAATCACTATCAATCACTATCAATCACTGCTAAGAATCGTTTCTGTTTTGATGCCTCCCAGCAACGAAAATCTGAAATAGAAACACCATCTTGCTTTATGTGGATGCTTGTGAGCTTGTGTTGATGGACGCTAAAATACAGAAGTTTCTGTTTCCTCCGACGCTTGTCATATTACATCGGCACCCTGATTGAGTAACGACTTTGAGGCTGTGCAGTAATTTTGGGCTTTCATAACATATTCCGTCCTGGAAAAACCATAAGGAACACGCACAGACACAGACAGACACATGGCTTCACATGACCTCTTCCATCCTAACTTTCAGGCTCGTGTGGGCGGCTGGACACCTACGGCCTACAACGCGCTCTTTGGAAGTGCAGAGGCGATTTCAACATTTTCAACCTCCAACCATGTCACAAGGTCCAGCCTTACTTCTCTTCAAATTAAATCTCAGCTTGCATAGTTTGCGTCTGAGACGAATCTCAGGATCAATTTTCATGATTTTCCCCTTGCATCTTTTCAGGATATGTCTGACGAGGATGTCGTTGCCGGAAAGTCCTGGGGCACTTGGAAGCAAGAGGACTGGAGTGACTGGAGGAAGTGGAAAGAGCCAAGTGCCCCAAGTGCCCCAAGCGCCCCAAGTGCGTCGTGGGATCAGAGTTGGAAGAGTTGGGACAAGCGGGATGGAGACTGGGACAAGCACAAGCACACCAAGCAGGGCGTTGTAAAAGATTGGTGGGACGGGGATGACGGGGATGACGGTTGGGAAAAGGATCAAAAGAACTGGAAGCAAAATGACTGGGAGGATGAGCAGCAGATCAAGCATGAGCAGAACCAGAATGAATGGAAGACTGAGTGGAATCAATGGGAGTGGAAAGATGGACGGGACGGGTGGGAACAGCAAAATGTCAAGAAACAGGAGGAGTGGAACTGGAAGCAAAATGAGAAAGAGCAATGGGATGAGGAAGAGGAAGACTGGGATCCAGATGCGTGCGAAGACCAGGCGCAGGATTTGCAAACTCTTTGGGCAATGCTTTTTCTTTGGCTTTCCTTTGGACACAAGCCAGGGCAGCCAGGCTATCTTTTCTGAAGGAAACAAGACCTGCTTTGGCCTATTTTCAAGACACGACATGAGTGAATCCCTAGCGTCAGGGCATGTTGGATTTCAACAGAGTGTGAGTGTGAGCATTGAACCCTGACACATTCAGCACCGGGTCGCAGGGCAAGCTTGAAAGCCAGAAGGCAAGGACCAAGGGGATCAGGGTCCATTTTCCAAATTCTTATCAGGGTTAAAAGGTCATCTTGTGAACGATATGCCGTGCTTCCACCAATGTTTCACAGTTGGCAATTTCGCTTTGCGTTGACTTGTCTTACTCGCAGGGTCCGATGTTGGAGGAAGAGGTTTTCGAGGCCAGAGTTGGCCATAGCTGCGATACTGGGTATGTTCATAAAAGACACCCGATACGACAATTGCACGACTGCAATTTGCCAGGAGATGGCAGATGCACCAAGCTCTGCACCAAAAGCCAAGGCCGTTCAAAGTGACGTACAGTGATGGTACAGTGATGTACCGTGTCATTCTGATCATTCTATGATTTCTCTTGATTTCTCTTGATTTCTATTGATTTCTATGTAATCATGCTGTGGCTACAGGCAATGCCCACGAAGCCAAAGGCACTACCGTCCCTCGGAGTCAGGAATCGATAGGAATCGATAGGAATCGATACGAATCGTGTCAAGAGGAGGTCTCAGCACTCAGCATGTCTCAGCGCCAAGGAAGAAGCGGCCCATTGCTCCAAGTATTGCTCCTATTGGGCCCATTGCCCCTTCCGGCGCGCTTTCCGTGCCAAGACCCTTCGATTGCACTTTTTTTTAAACCAACAACAAACAAAGGGAATGTAGTAAGATATTTGCAGTATGTTTACAGTTTTGGATCGGTTGGTTCCACCATGTTCCTACAAAAGGCAATATATAACAGAAATTAAAAGAATTTGTAACACAAAGTTCGACACGAAGGTTCCGAAGGTAACACGAAGACATGATGTGACTTCGGATGCTTCATGCACACGATTTGCACGGAGCAGTGGAGCAGTGGAGCAGTGGAGCAGTGGAGCACCGAGGACCTCCTACAATCTATGTGCCTTCCCTGCTGGCGACGGCCAAAGCCATGGTGGCGATCCTTGGCCGAATTGCGAATTGTCCCTTGAACTGTCAGCTCATTGTCAGCTCATTGTCAGCTACACCCGGCTACACAAAAAGATCAGGTCCATGGTATTACCAGCTCGACTCCTTGATCAATTTCATTTCAATCCATTTTGTATGTTTCAAAAACGATCTGTTTTCGCATGTGTCCATTAAAACTTAAAACTCTAAATGTCTAAGTCTAAATCTTTTTTGGTATCATCCATGTATCTCAAGCCAAGGAAGCCAAAGGCGACTCCAAAGCCACCAACGACTCCACCTCCACCACATTTGAAGGAGGCTGGGGCCGCTTGTGGCCGCTTGGGGCCGGGACCGTCTGGGGCTACAGGAGAAACAGCGGGTGTTGCAGTGTATTCCAATGATTTCCAAGTATCCAATGTGCAGGAAGCCAAGGAGCAGAAGGCTTGGGATGATGAGGAGGTCAGCAAAGGGACTTGGCTCAGGTGACTAGGTGGACACTAGGTGGACACTAGGTGGACACTAGGTGGACACTAGGTGGACTGGCAGTTGCTTGCAGTTACTAGTAGCTACATGTGTGCACATCTAGCTACTAGCTTGCTCAAAGCAGTTACTAGTTTTGCACGGCTAAAAACTTGCCGCCATATCACTGAGTGACTTGGCACAGAGTTTCGGGAATGCAGGAAGATTTTGTCGAGGAAGAAGAGGAGGATCAGTGGAACGGATGGCAGGCTGGGTGCCAAGTCAGAATCACAGAAGGTCTTTGCCTGTTTCCAGGAAATTTCAGGGTGGACAATGAATATAAGAGTTATGATTTAAGTGTGTTTGCTTCCAGCTGGTGATATATCATTGACTTCAGAGGACAAGTTAGCTAAGTTAATCCATTTGTGAAGCTCTCGCCTTCCTGTGGAAAGGATTGGAAATGGAACGGCGAGTGGGACCAGGATGACCAGGCCCAGCAAGATTGGAAGAGGAGAAAAATCCCCGACTCTGGTTTGAGGTGGCAGGACCGATGAAACTGCCACAGTGTCACACAGTGTCACACACTGAAATGCTTCAAGATGCTGCGGCATTCTGTGAGATGCGGAATGTGCTGTGGTTGATCGATTGGTCAAGTGATTGCTATGCAGGATGGCAAATGGGAGAGAGCGAGCACCAATGGCGTCAGTCCAAAGAAGAGTCCAAAGAGCACTGAGAAAACTCAGAAACCTCAAAAAACCCAATACCCTCAATACGTCAAAGCCGTGAGTGTCAAAAATTCTACAAGCGCTTGGGCGCGTGGTAGAAATGCCACAAGAGGCAGACCGAAGAGACGCGACCTCAGCACAATCGACATGCTTGGTATGTTTTGGCATGTTCTTTCATTTCAAAGGACAAATGTAATCATGTTTTTTAAACATGTTATTTAAAATGTGGTTGAAGGCCAAACTTAGGAAACCCTAGGCACAGTGGCAAATCGGTCTTTTGGAAAAGTTGACAAGCATTGACCCCCCTTCAAGATCCTTCAAGCCGGTCCGCCTTCGGTCCAACGGACAAGGACAGAAGTTCCCAGACGCACCAGAACGTTGGGGAGAAGATTGGGAGCAGTCTCGCCAGGACGCGGCCGTGGGGCTATTCTTGGGAGCGTAGTCTGGGTGCAACATGTTCAACACGTGATCAACATGTGTTTTTGTACGTTTTTGTTTTCTCGCATTTAGATAGACTCCAAATTTCAGACTCCAATCTTCTCTTTTCGCCTTAGGAGTCTGGGAGTCTTCGGGTGTTTTTTTTTGGTTCTCTACCCAGTCACCGAGTACCCAGGAAGTAGACTTGACACTGCTGGGTCAGATGGGACCTCCCACGTCAAGTGACTTGGCAAAATCTTGCTGAGCAAACGGAGTCACATCGACTCATACGGACTCATACGGACTCTGTCATGTTGATATATTTGTCATCGATATCTCGATCTCACATGATCTCTCTGATGAAGATTTTGAAGAGCTGGAACCTGAAGCCCACCTGAACTTGAAGCATCCTGAAGCCCAGGATGGGAATACCGCCTGGTGGACGAGTCTCGACGATCCTTCCTTGGCTATATGCCGTGCCTGGGCTTTGCAATGCTTTGCATATGGCCCATATGGTGCCCATATATGGCTGTGTTGGGAAATGATTGGGAAACAGCTTAGTAAAAATGAGACCGGTCGTGATTTGTATGCGGGTAAGCACGAGGACTCGCTGCAGGTTGGTCTGCCACCAAGGTCTGCTTTCTCCACCAAACAGTGTGACACGTTGTTCGAGCAAGTGAAGGACTTCACGTCAAGCTGCTCCAAGAAATGATCAAACCCAAAAACACATGACAGGTTGCCTAGTGACTCTCCCAGTGACTCTCCCAGTGACTCTCCCAGTGACTCTCGTTGGACACACGCTTTCACAGTTGGTGCGTGACACTTTTACGAGCACCTTACCCTTGTAGGATGGTTGAAACTGTTGAAACTGTTGAAACGCATTCCATGTTCTGCCTGAAAGCCCCTGAAAGCCCGTTACTTGGTGCAGGAATGTACGCAGTGGCAGACCCCTCCAGACTCCGGTCCAGCGCCGCGGCAAGTAGCCTGGATGACTAAGAAAGGCAAGGACCAAGGACACACGACACTGGCAGTCGCTATTCAATTTGATCAGTTTGAAGATTTTGAAGTGGAATCACACCATTCCAATTTGGAATCACATGGAACTGGAAATCACTGGAATGGTGGAGAGATGTGGAGAGTCGATCCACACATTATCCAAACCGGGGGAACACTGCTCCATAGCATGGAAGACAGGCTGCAGCTGCAAGTATCGCTACGGCGGAGTGGAGTTGGAGAGTCAGGAGTTTCCTCAGCGCCTTGGAAGGAAACCGAACCTGTCAGAGGAGATTTCTTTAAGAAAAGTAAATGGTGCAGGGTACAAACCTTTGGATCCATTTGTGTCGTGGCTTTGAGAGAAAACATTGGAAACTTGCTGAAGTTGCTCAGGCCAAATCCAAAAGCCATAGCTAAACGATCAATAACGATCCAATCAAGCTCACAGGACAAGTGCTCATGCAGTGTGTGAAGAATGTTTGAGCCAAGGCAGATGCAGGAGCTTCTGGGTCGAGTGATGTTCCTTGATCTGATATGTTTGAAGTTTTTCATGACTTGTGTCGGCGTTGCAAAAAGAGTGCTGCTGTTCCCATTTTTTTTATTTGACAAACGTTGACAAACATGTTTCCAAATCCGGTGACTTCCTATGTTATGACTTTAGATTTGCCTAGCTATGGGCACACACCAAAAAAGGCACCAAAATTTCCAACCCTGCATGGTTGAAGCCTTCGAGCTTCAAGACTCTTCGAGACACTGAGGAAGCTTTGTGGTGGTGGCAACGCCGACTGGCCAGACTCGTGTTCTCTCAACTTCTACGAGGTCTGGCTGTGCAAGCACTCCTCTGCAGACTGTCGAGAAAACACAATATGTTCAGTCCAGTGCGAAAAATTGGTTGCAAGGATGGTGCAGCTTCGCTGGGTTGGCATGCTGACGACGAAGCGCTTTTTCAAGGGAAGTTTGAAGATATTCGTGTCTTGGCATGAGCGTCTTCGGGAGTTGAACCTGAGAAACCGCAACAGTGAAATTCGGAGACTCTTGTTACCCCTCAAACCAGTTGTCAAGCCAGACTGCCAGACCCTTTCCGTTCCCCAAAACTGCTATTCCTCCAGCTCTCACGTACACCTGGTTGTGTGCTGTCCGACGCCAGGAATCATCTCGCTGTCCTTGGGGCAGGCGCGCACCTTTGAGCTACGGCGCAACTGGCCCCAGGCAGGGGACGTTTTTCTTTCGGGAAGGGAGTCCCAAAGGAGATCAGCTGATCACTGTACGTTCTCTTTGCAATGCAAGCCATAGCTGCCATAGCTTGCATTGTCCCTCTGCGCCTTGTAATGTTGCGAAAACATGGGCAAATCTTGCAGGCAGGTGAGACTGAAGTCCAAAAACTTAGGCTACTTGGCTTGCACCCTGAGATTTGTTTCTAACTTGGACTCCTTTCAACTCCTTTCAGGATAGCACACCAGACTCCAGACAAATCATGTGAAAAGGAAGCTTCGGACAAAAAAACTTCCTTTCTTATTATGCGCGACAACTTTTTGGACTGTCTGGTTTCAAGCCCCACAGGATTGTGTGAAGATGAGTACGCACCTAGCTCTAAATCTAGGTTGAAACGCTAGAGTCGTTAGAATTAGATTATGACACTTCCTATCATTTTGGCTTGCAGTTTGCATCGGACTCAACAATGCAAGGAACTCGGCGATGCATATATCAATGCGGAAACTGGTTGATTCAGGTAGTGAAATGATGATGATGATGATGATGATGATGATGATGATGATGATGATGATGATGACGATGACGATGATGATGACGATGATGATGACGATGACGATGACGATGATCATGATGACAACGACCACGACAAATCAGGACAATAGGATGATAAAGAACCATTAGCATCATCACGTAATCTGCCCTGCAAGTCCTCAGTACCAGCGCTAGGTTTAAGTCGTATCAGCTCTTGAAAAGTCGTATCAGGAGGCCGTGCGCCTGGATAAGAGTTCAATTTTGGTACGCTTTTATTGCGGGATATATATGTATATGATACAATATGTATATGATATAATATGTATATAATAATGTATGTATATAACACTATATATATATACAGTTCAGTATATATATATACACAAACAATCTAGATTCTAGATAGATAGATAGATAAATAAATAAATAAGACTAAACCAATTAGAGCAATTAGATTATTTAGATTATTTAGATTTTTTGGATTATTTAGATAGATTAGATTTGATTAGATATTTAGATCGATTAGATTGACTAGATCGATTAGATCAGCCAGATCCATTAGATTGATTAGATTGATTGGATAGACGACTGGATCGATTAGATCGATTAGATAGATAAGATAGATACGATAGATAAGATAGATAAGATAGATACGATAGATAAGATCGATAACCCGGCGGGTGGAAAACCGCGCTAGCGGTTGAGGACGTTTTGACAAAAGTGCTTGGCGCTGTGGCGCTGTGTACATGTTTTGATGAACTAAACTGTACCATAAATTCTGTCGGGCAAAATCAAGTCACTTTGAAATGATCACATGGTATTTACAGGGTTTTGTGGGTTTGGGATGATGGCCGCTTTTCACTTCTGCTTTAGCCGCTTCAGTCTGCCAAGCGCTTGCCTACGGCGTGACCGGTGAGACTCTTGTAGTCCTTTGAATTTCCATGGTGCCATCTCCATTGCCAACATCGAATTCCTTGAAGCAACTGAGGATTAACAGCTCCGTTTTTGCGTGTAATTACTCCAAGAACTTGACACGGCACCCTTGGAAATTATCCACATTCCATCGAAATCGATACCACCTCTGTGCACAAGTAATGTGCCCCATGTTTTTTTCTTCTTGGTGCAAAATATTCCCTTACTATGATTGCAAGCTTCACGGCCCAAGTTATTTTCACATATGAGTTTGGGGTAACATGGGGCACCGTCTGTGACCAGATGCTTTTGCGACTGTTCTTGTGGGTCGTGAGCACACATGTCAAAGCACCAGTGGCACGAACGTGGCGCGCTCTAAGGAGGAGGCCTTCCAGATTTGCAAGCTGCTGCCGCTCCCAAATCATAAATTTGCATATATATATATTATATATATATACAATACTGGTATGAGTTTCCTCTAGGATTTCAGGGGGGTTAACACCCCTCAGGAGGGTTGATTTTCTGTCCTTCGAAAAGCTCGAATTTGCTGAAATGATGCTTTCGAAGTTCCCCCAATTTTCTACAGAACAACTTTTGGAGACGTCTGAGTCGTAAGATCCTGATTTTCTGGGTATTTTAGGTGCCCAAAATCCAGAAACATAATTTTAGCATCTCTGGGAGTACGTGCATAGATTTTCTAGTGGTCCTTGATTTTCTAGAGAGGCACTGGCAGGTCATTACAACCAACAATATGATATTTGGATGTATTTGGGTGCGTCTGAAAACAGGGATACCCAATTTATGGCAACTTGAATACGGATAACGAGGTTCGAAACCATGACATTCGGGAGTGCAGAATTTTTATCGAAATGGGATGGGAATTCAATGGGTTGGATGTTGGCTCTAGAAAAAGGGGAGCAGTAACTTGAAGTAACATATTTGATTTCGTAATTTCAAAACTATGCAATTCAAGTAGGGCGGTGTTTTCCTAAGGAAAAATGCTAAACATAGCTTCGAAAATGCACTTCTTGTACGTTGCCATTTTTCTAGGATACCTCAAACTGGTTTGGTGTCTGTTGCTAGATGTTCTTGGGTCCCTAATTTATACAACCTACATTTTCTACTAGAAAATCACAGGCCCCAACCTGACCCGGTCAACTCGTACAGGGATTATATACATATATATATACATACATACTTGATATAGAATACCATATAGGTTATAATACGTTATAGTTTCCCCACCCCACCCACTCCAGACCCAAAGCCATGACGTAGTCGCAGCGTGGCATCACTTGAGTGGGCAAGTCACTTGCCCCGCCCCACCCCATCCAGACCCAAAGCCATGACGTAGCCGTAGCGTAGCATCGCTAGAGTGTGCAAGTCACTTGAATGTTATTGCCCCCCCAACCCATCCAAACCCTATATTCAAAAAGTAGCGCGACTACACGGGCGGTTTTCGACTCGCTAGCATAGATAAGATAGGACAGGATAGGGTTGAGTTTGATTGAATGTGATTAGATCCGATTAGATAGATAGATAGATATACAGATAGATAGATAGATAGATAGATAGATAGACATAGATCAAGATAGATAGATAAAGATAGATAAAGATAGATAGATAGATAGATAGATAGATAGATAGATAGATAGATAAATAGATAGATAGATAGATAGATAGATAGATAAAGATAGATAAAGATAGATAAAGATAGATAAAGATAGATAAAGATAGATAGATAAAGATAGATAGATAAAGATAGATAAATAGAGATAGATAGATAGATAGATAGATAGATAGATAGGTAGAAAGGTAGAAAGGTAGATAGATAGGTAGATAGGTAGATAGGTAGATAGACAGATAGATAGATAAATAAATACATATCACTTCCTTTCACTAGGCACATACAAGTGGAAGCAAGGCGCCAATATTCTGTTTGGGTCGGCTTGTATTCTTCAAAACCGTCACCGCGGGCAATGCTTCCGCCACTTTGTGCATCCCTCTTCCAGTTTCCCTTACATAATCACAGGGGCAGAGGGAATTCTCCAGGGATAGTAAAATCTCAATGCAGGACAGGTTGGAAAATGGGAGAGGGTTAGCCTTGATTTTAAATAGATGTTAGGCCTCCTGGTGGCAGGGGCAAACTTAGAAAAACTAGAGCAAACTTGGTGTCATTTCTGGATGAATGGCAGTGGATTGGTATGTTTCCCATCATACGGTGTGCAGGGTTATTTGGGCCACTCGGTTCCACATCCAAGGATCTTGATTCATGTTGCTGTAAACAAGCGGAACATGTTTGCAGTAGCTGCTGCGCAAGTTGCACTACAAAATCATAGGGCCATGCCTTCAAAACCACAAAAAATAGTACGAAACTGGGGGCTGTTTACACAATTAAATCCATGAGTTGTGGGAAAATGCATGGTACATAATCATGGGGCGCAATCTAGCAAGGAACCCCAAAATCATTGCAAAATCTGGGCCCGGTGCAAAATCAATAGGTTTTATTTTACTGTTAATTTTCTTGTTTTGAAAGATATTGCGTTTTTCGAGCAAAAATTCCCACATATATATATATACATATATCCTGACAATTTATGTGTCCAGGGCTGATGTTGCCTCGGACGACATCCTTGAAAAGGTCGTGCCCTTTGATTTTGTAATGAGGGACGCCCATCAAAAGGCCTAGGCCCCAGGATTGTACTTACAAAATCAAAGGGCACGACCCTCTCACTGAATTGCCGGATCTTTTAGTCGCATTACAGGCGAAACACTCTAGGCCATTGTGTTTGTCCTTCCCTCATGTGACTTTCCACTACCTGATGTGACTTTGCCGTATCCGAGGCTGTGCCATGGGTATTTTGTGGTTTCTCCCCGCCTGAGTGAATTAAGTACTGCGGCAGTACCGGTGTAACGAGATCAAATTTCAATGATCCACTGAACACATTCTTTTTGTGCGGTCTTGTGAAATTACGGGAGGTGTGCCATATAGTTTGTCGTGTGAAGCAAAGCTCATCGGCTCCGCGCATCAGACACATCCATTCTGCGAGGCAAGAACACGTTGGAAAAACATGGCAGCCGGTTGACTCGGCGCCCTTGTAAGGGTGACGGGTTTGGGGTTCTGATTTTTGAGGCTAAGAGACAAAATGCTGGTATTTGCAGGACTCGTCAAAAAGTGTTTGCCACATGGACATTCGTTTCGATTGGCAGGCTTGTGACTCGAGAGTGAAGTTTGCGTTTCGCCTGCGCGGTGACTGGGTTTTGCTCTCCAAGGGTCCAAAAAAAACCACTAGAAATCTATGATTTTCAAACATCCGGATCATATCAGGGCGACATTCACTCATCCATTTTTTTCCTCTTCTCGACGCTTCAGTGCCAGAGCGCTTGTGGCAACGCAGAAGCCACAGACTGCAACAAGGCAGCATTGTGACGCCATGTCCAGCTGTAGGCCTTTTTTTGGTACACTTGTTGACCTTTTTTTTGTGGAGCATCGACGTAGGTCAGCATTTTTTGAGGTGTTTCCATGTTCCATCCATTTGTTGAGTACCAGCAACAATGGTTCTATAGGATTTACTGTACCCCACAAACGACCTCGAGAACTTAGTAAAGATATTTTGTTTGTGGTTGACTTGGGCCATCTTGAACCTTTCAACTGGCTGCAAAACCTCTGCCTCCATCTGCAGTGACAGCGCTAGAGACACGCCCCACCCCCCTGGTGATCATACGACAGCA